TCCCTGAAAGCATCGTGCGTACAGATGCCTGCTGGTTGCCATGGTGAATGATGCTGATCTGAAGAAATGAATAACGTGAGCGTTGGGGGCGACAGTGGGATTACTCAGACAGTGGCGAGAGAGGCATCAAGGAGAGCCCAGAGCAGAGGAGGGGAGAAGGCTCCATTCCTTCAGCTTTGGTCCACTGTCTCTGCCTCTGCAGGCTGCGTTCTAACCAGATCCACCGCGAGCATCAGGTAAGGAACATAAATGGCTCTTCTTGGAAATGGAAATGGTTTTTCCTTTCACACTCTGCTTGGCGGAGGGCCAGGCAATGGCAATATGAATAGCTAAAAATAGGGGGAATTTAGAAACAGAAGCAGAGAAAGAAAAGCAAATAAGGGAGACTGATCTGGTCCCCAAAGCTGAAGATGCTGCCACAGTGTCTTGCCAGAAAGCTCTTAAAAATGTCTGCTGTAGAGAACTCAGTCTGCAAAGACAGCCAGCAGCAGATGCGAAGCAAACAGGAGAAAATATTCAAAAGAAAAAAACCCCCAGGATTCCTGATCACCCCTGATGGAAGGGCTTTACAAAGGCCATTGCCTCTGTATTATAAGAAATGAATTAAGCTCTTCTCATTGTGGTCAGAAGTGTGTTTATAGGGATGGGTGGGGTGGAGTGGATGGGGGAGGTCATGAGAAGGGAGACTGACGAAGGGGGCGCAGTCTCCTTTGCAATGACCTCCCCCGGAGGGGTCTGAGCACACCTGTCTTGTCCCTTTCATTCCCCATGTTTCTGGGAAGAAATTTCCAACCAAACTGAAGGGAACTCTTCCCCTTCCTGAGCATTTCAGTTCACTGTCATCCTTAGAGAAGAAAAACAAGGATTGAAAAATCGCTCAGTGCTGTGCATCTTTCTGCAGCCCACCTCCTCTAGGGAAACGGCCATGAAAATAGAAGGTCGGAGGGAGGCAGGGAGGAGAGAGCGCAGCTTGTAACAGAAATCAGTTTGGCTTCACATCCAGTTCAGGTTAAAATCTGGCTGATGGGTTTCTACTGGGTCATTAAAATCTAAAACGCAGGCTTCTGCATTTCACATGAGACAGGAAGGGCAGAGAACAGGGCTGGGTGAGACCCGTACATGAACAGACACAACAGGCTGAATGAACATGGCTGCCCCTCATTTTTAGATCAGGGGAAATTCAGTGGAGGGGAAACTCTCTCTCTCTCAAAGAGATAGCATTTGAGAGGAACTAAAAAGCTTGAAGATGGTGCTTTCTTACCAAAGTGGGAGGGCTGCTAATCTGAAGAGGGCTCATTTGATTTGTGGAAAAACAGCAACTGGGTCTTAGTGCCAGCACCTCATCTTGCAATAAGGTGCTGTAACTAAACCCAGCAGCCTTGCATTTGGAAATGTAGCAGTTAAGTGGCTTTGAGTCTACCTATTAGCTGAGCGACCTCAGACTGCTCATCTGTAAAATGGGGATCTAGCTCAGAGGGCCTGATGAAGATTAAGGGAAATTTATTACGGTATGTGAGCATCTAGCATGACACATACTAGATGTGACACAGCAACCACTTACTAACTGTTGGTGATTACTATCATTATTAACACTCACAGTACCAGGGGTATTAAATAGCAGCATTTATGCTGGTATTAGGAGCTGATTGCCTTGACCTACACAACTAATTTCCTGGGTACCTTCAGCCTTGAACAAACAAACAAAGAAACAAAACATGAGCAGAGGCTTTGGGGAGAAATCAGCTGCCAAGGAGTGATGACGCAAATCTCCTCTCACGAGCAACAGAACTGGGAGGCTAAAAAAGCAGTGGGCAGAATGTTCTAGATGACTGAGCTCCACAGCACTGCGAGCAGAAGGTCCCGAAGGGATATTGTAGGTGACATAATTGTCTGACTTGGAGGTTGCAGAGCCGTGGTGACTCATGTGGGCACATTAATCGGGTTATCTGACTTCTTTTATGGCCTTTCTTCGTTTTTTAAAGGCTTGGAAACAATGTTGTATCTGAGGGATCGGAGCCAGGGCAGGATGAGGCTGGGGGACATCAGGCCTGCAGGACACAGGCTGTGACACGAGACAGCCCTGATGTGAACCTGTGTTCTGTTATCTCTCAGCTATGCCTTCGCTGAGTAATGCAACCTCTTTGCCCTCCATTTCCTTGTAAAACAGGGGCAATCTTAGTCCTCAATATACGGTGGTTATGAATATCGTACATAAATGCTTCAATAGGGGATGTCATTTTCCACTTTGATTCTGGTTCTAGAATCAGGATGAACATCGAGGTTGGGAACGTTTCTCATACAGGAGCCATCATTTCCTGGTCGTCCTCAGAGCCCTGCCTGGAGGACTATTACCATATTATGTACAGGCCCAACTGGAACAGCATCTTCTCCGGCTATCTGCGCTACAGCTTCCACCACGAGGAGAAGGTGCCCCGAACAATCAGCTCCGTGGTGCTGGAACACCTCGCGCCTTCCACTCTCTACTTCCTGTGCATCAGCTGCAAGAAGGCTGCCTTCCCCTATAGGCACTACTGCACCATGTTCCATACCCTGGATAAGAGTCCACTGGCAGCCGGGAGCTCCCTGGTGGACCCCCAAATCTCCCTGTGGGTGTTGATGGCCATTCTACTGGCCTGCTTCACAGCCGTCTTAGCTTTCATCTGCCTCCAGTTCTGGTGCATCCGTTGCCACGAGCCTCGATGGTCTTACCGAGCCGGCCACATGGAGGAAGCCAATGGGTTGGTGAGATGGCCAGAGGAGGCCCCCGCGCTCGGGCAGAGAGAGGAAGACCTGCAAGGGCTCCCCCTGGTGGAAATGCCACGCAAGAACTCCGGCGCTGAAGCAGAACCAGAAGCCGAAGGGGAAGCCAACGAGGATGATGCAGCTGACCAGGATGCCGCCAATCAGGATGTTCCTGACGTGGGTGCCTTGCTGAGGGGCGGTGGTGGTGATCATCCTGCCATGCTGCCTCATTTTAGGGAGTGAGACGTAGGGAGGAGGCAGCCCGTGCGTCGTGTAGCTTAAAGCCCTCCATACAGTAGATCTTTTGTAAAAATGTGTCCCTAGACCACCCATTTGCCTCCCCTCAACTGTCAGTGCTCTTGTGGATCATCCGGGTTGGATGGTGGCCCTATGACAAAGCTTCTCAAGCTGGAAAGCATATACCCCCCACGGTATGCCAAAGGAGAAACATGGTGTCTCTCAGGAGTGTCCATTTAAGGGAGCCCAGTTAGGAATGAAAAACATTATTTTAATGTTAAAACAAACATGAATATATTATGGTATAGAAAGCAAAATTTGCATGACTTAATAAAACACAGTACTTCGAGGAAACTTTTGAGTTGAAGATGGGCTCTCTCGGTTATGCTTTCAGTCAGCTGAGGCAGACGTCCAGTCCCCTCTGCTGTTGGGGGGACTATTTTGGAAAGATTGAGAAGCCTTGCTTCACAGTGTTTTCCAGCTTTCGGGCAATCACATACCATCTCGTACCCCATCTCCATTTTGTTTAAACCATAGACTATCTTTACTATTATTAACAATATTTTTCTTTAAGTTGACTCATTTTTAAAACTTAAACTTATTTTAAAAGACAGACTTATATGACTCCATAAATGAAAAACCAGCACCCTCCTGCTATAAGTAGAAGAGACATAAGAATAAATATAATGAAAACAAAATAACATTAAGTTTGACTTAGATTCTATTGCCTACTAAAGACTCTGAGCTTAAGGTCTGCTCTCTTAGCTTCCAGGAAAAAGGAAGATGGAAAGGAGAAGGTATTAAAGACATATAAGCATCAACATAAATGTGTCTTTCTCCTTGTTATAATCACAAGGTTTGTAAGAGACTTGGAAAGGGAGGTGTTGTTCTTGCTTTGTGAGTCAGAGTCATTCAATGACATGTCTGAACTATCCGAAATGCTGGCTCAGAGTGTCCCTTGTGCTGAGAAAGCTGCCTTGACCAGACTGGCTGTCCTGGAGAGGACATCTACACTGTCCCAGCATCATCCCAAGACCTTCTAAGCCCACCTGTAGGCCCAAGTGGTGGGAACTCATTGGTTCACCACACTTCCCAATCTTGGGCTCCCCAAACTAGAGGAGTACCTTTTCTTATATGTATTCAGTGGTTCTTCTGAGTCCATCTGTGCTTACTTTTTAAAAATGGGGTCAAAGGTAGCCATTTCAATTCCATCACAAAGAAAAATGCTGGCTTTGTTGTGGACACGTTTCGCTCTTACACTGGCATACTTCCCCTTCAAACCCACCGGGTAAGAGATAGATCTCCTACATCCATCATAGTGTTGGTGAGACTCTGTGAACACTGCCCCCTGTCCCCACCATGGGGGTAGAAATTCGAGGAGGGGAGAGATGATGTCCGATTTAATCTCTGATATATCCCCAGCATGCAGAATCTAGCCCCATGTCTGGCTTATCGTGGGCGCTTCATAAATGTCTGTTTAATGAATGGCAAAGGATGGAAGGTCTAGAACAGGGCACCATCTGGGAGGCCTGGTTAGTGTCAGGATGTGTATTGGGAACAAAGCGGCAAAGAGATGGGAAAAGACCTGTCTCTCGGCTCTAGCTCCAGCCCTCTGGGATTTCCTTCAAAACTCCACCTTCCCAATTGCTTCCTGCTGGCAAAACACTTGCCTTTCTGGAACACAAAATCCCAGAATCACACGACCATACTGCAATGAATCAACTGAGCAACAGGAGGAGAGAGGATGAAGATGAGAAGCCCCACGCACCTATGTCCCTGCTCACCTCAGTGAAATCCCCCCAACTAATTCCCACCCAAGAACCACCCCTGCCAGGTCTGCTTCACCCCCATCCTGGCTAGCTGTGCACAAATAAAGATGAATATACTCGCAGTTGTTTCTGCCTGGATCTCACTGCTGTCTCTCTATCTCTGCACCTCTTTACTCTTCTGATTTGGGGAACACTCTTCTAATTGCTTTTGCTCACTAGTCTTAGGAGTAGGACACAGGCAAGACTACTCACCTTGGATCCATAGAGGTAATAAGGCTGGACGTTGGCGGGCTTATCTCTTTGCGGTTCTTGGGTGAAAGGAATGGCAGTTCGAACAAAACTAGTAGAGGAAAAGAGAAGGGGCGGGAGTTAACTGGGTCCTGAGAGCATTCTTCATGGGACACAACCTAGCTGGAGCCCTTCCTGACCAGATGCAACCACAGTGTTTCTAGGTGGTTGTCTATAAAGGTACTAAACTCTTATGACATACACCCATTCATTCACCTCCTGTCTCCTTCCCATAGGTGGGAAAACCATAGTCCAGATTCCCAGGCTAGCCTCTGGGCTATGGCTGCTCACAAGGACAGAAGGCAAGAGAGACAACTGGCTGGACCTGCAAATGGCCCTCTCTGGGGCTCTGATCCTTTCCCCCGCCCCACTCAGGTTGGCTTCTTAAGAGCAGGGTTCCACAAACTCTTTCTGTAAAGGCCCAGATAGCAAGTATTCTCAGCTTTGCAAGCCAGATTGTCTCTGTCACCATTACTCAACTGTGCTGGTAGCGTGAAGCGCCCATAAATAATTGTAGATGAATGAGCATGGCTGGGTTCCAGTAAAACTTTACGAATTTCAAATGATTTTTCACTTGTCATCAAACTATAATTTTTTGGATTTTTTTCCCCCAACTATTCAAAAATGTCAATAGCATTCTTTGCTCCTGGGTTGTACAGAGACAGTTGGCAACAAGATGTGGCTTGTGGGCGATGGCCTGCAGACCTCTGCTCAAGAGGATTCAAAGTCCCAGATCTTTACAGAACCAGAAGTCTGTCTTGCTAAACGTGTGGAATCAGGCTCATGTGTGGTTTCCTCCCAGGTCCTTCTATTCATTCAGCACACATTTATTTAATACTATAATGTATTAAATTATAGTATTGAGCCAGGCCCTGAGGGTACCGAGAGGACCAGTAAACACACGCATGTTTGTGTAACCTAATGTACTTGTTTTGTGGGTGAACACATCTCCCATCCTCCATCAGGTTTTGAACTTCTGTGAGGGTAAGGGATTAGGTCTTGTCCTCACCTCGGTGCCTGACGCAGGGCTGTGTGCACCCTGCAGGAGACATTCGCCACTTTGTCATGCATGCGTGTGCCTATTTTGCACAAACGTATTCATGTATGTGGATATTGTCATAAAAGTACCATCTGCTCATAAAGCACCATGCATGCTCCTAGGTTGGACTATGGAGTAGCGCACAGCCAGCTCCTGCTTCCTCCTGGGTCCTGCGCTATCTTTCATGGCACCGCCTCTTCCAATCGGCTCCACCCTCACCACGTACTCTCGGCTCCTTGGAGACTCTGCCTGGAATATTCTTCTCCTGTCTTTTCACCTTATTTACTCCTATTCACCCTTCACATCTCTGCTCAAGCATTACTTGTCAGAGGAGGAAGCCTTTCTTGAGGTTCCCATCACTTCCCAGGCCGGATCAGGTGGTGGTGTTTTCTCTCTCATGACTGGGGCTTTCCTCCATCTGCAGATTCACTCTTTCCATTTTTCACCAGCATCCTCCTTGCCTGAAGGCTCTCAGAGGCAGGCTTGTTCATGGTGGCATCCCCCCCTCCAGCACAGAGCCTCCAGCCAGGAGGGACTCCACAAGACACCTGTTACAGGAAGGAACCCCTTCCTTGGCCCCCAGCCCACCCCAGCCCCCTCTGCACAGGGACTCCCTTACCGGTTGGTGGACCCGTTGTAGCAATAGTTGGGGAGGAAGTCGAAGTTCAGCTCCCAGAAGACGTGGAGGGTGATGCGGCCGTAGGGGGCGGACACGTTGTGATTGGCCTCCCGGAACATGGCGTCGAAGCTGTCCAGGGTCATGTGCTTACACAGCAGCCGGTGCGTGAGCCGGTTGATCTCCAGCAGCCACTCCAGCTCCTGCCAGAGAGAGCCCATGGCTGCTGAGGATGTACACATACACCTCACACGCACCCCACGTGCCCCGCTTCATCTTACAGATTTCTTTCATGTGGGGGAGAGCCCCTCAGACAAGCTCCCGACTGCCGACGTGGAGACTAGGCCCCCGCGGTGGCATGTGACAACATGCCCTTCTTCAGAGGAGGAATTCCCAGATTGTGCGGAGGAAAGCTGCGTGCCTGCTCTGAGAAGGGGGCCACAGACCATGTATGATTGCCCTGTCTGGACCCCCTTGGGTGGAGAGCATGCCTGCTTGCTTTCCAGTCTCCATACTGGTGAGGAGAAAGCTTGCTTCTCAGTGTTGCAAGTAAACAAAAGGAAGGTGTGACTGGCTGTCACGAGAGCTGTGTCTCGGCTGTGCAGAGAGCCATCCTGAGAGTTATCACTCGCAAAGGCCTTACTACTAGGTCAGACCACATGAAACTACTGGTTTTCAGGTTAAACACCATTGAATATGAGTAGTTTCATGTGATTCAATTTAATATACGCCAAACTGTATCCTCAGCACTTAATGTGTCTTAACTCATTTAATGCTCAAAAAAACCCTTATTTTATGCATTAGAGACACTGAGGCTTGGAGAAGTTGAATCACTTGACTCCAAATCCAGGAAGTTGAGCTCCAAAGTCCATATTCTTAACCGCTGTACACTATAGGAATTTTAAAACTAGCTGGGGGCAGAATGCCCCCTCCTTTGGATTCCTCCTGGGTCTGCCAGTCACCGGGTTGCTTACATGTTGGCAAAGGTGCAGCTGAAAGCCATGAACCGAGGACCGTGAGCTGTGGGCCTTGACTGCTGGGAACCCTACCTTCAGGCAGAGAATGGGACCAAAGTGGACAATATGCAGACACAACAGGTCACTGCATTTGTTGGCAAGTAAAAGGAGAGTGAAACCCTTTGGGCTGGCTTTAGTCCCTTGCCGTGCTGCTGTGAAAAAGAATCAAAGCACAGCCTTGTGCAGAGAGAAGCCATCCCTCTTTGTGATGCTCTAGGACACTCCCATATTGTTGTGGTCAAGCCCTCTTTTGAGATGGGTACAATGGCCCCTGTTTCATACAAGGGACAGATGAAGCTCAGAGGGTGAAGTAACTTGCCTAAAGTCACACAAGGAATATAGAACACAGTTTAGTGTGTGATCCCAGGTCTTCTGACGTCAAGTCACGTGTTTGGGCCTCTATGATAGAGCTGCCTGGACTAAAGAAGCAATTTGCTAAGAGAGCCCCTTGAACAGTAATGATGATCAAAGTAAAGATGGTTTGACAATATAAAAACTCCACGAACGCTGGCAAGGGCAGTTGACCAGAGGGCGGCCAGGAGGTGGGACAGCCAGAGGGCCAGCTTTAATGGCTGGGATAGGGAGCTCAGGTGTCTACAGTCGGTCATAGGGTGCAGCCCCACACCAGGGAATCAATTTTACTCTCATCAGCCACAAGGCATCCCTCACGCCAGTTGGGGCCTAGAGTGTGGCCAGGTGGAGGCCCCAGACCATGCTTCCAATTTTGGAGATTTGTCTTTCTGAAACTCAGATGCTATGGCTCTAAATTGGGGGTGCAGAAGTGGATCGAAGCTTGCAAACTTCAGTGGCTGCAGAGGCCAGCCAGCTCAGGGAAGAGACACAGGCAGGAGCAGGAGGGATTCCTAGAGCTGGGCTGTCTGTGGCAAAATGTCTGCCCAGAGACGGGGGAGCTGCTACTTAACTCCATAGAGTTGTTGCCTCCTCAGAATGGGCGCAGTGATGACAGAGCTCACAGTCTTTCAAAAGAAGGTCGAAATCTGGATTTTAATTCTGGAATGGCAGCTGGAAGAATAAGTTCCCAGTCATTGTGCACCATGAAGTAAATGAAGGGCAGAAATACCGAATCACCTCTCTGCTTCTGTCTCTTAGGGCCTACCCAGGTGGACTATTAACTTTGTGCCCATTCACTTCGGATGGGTAAAAAAAATGAATTAAATAAAATAAATAGAATAAATGCCAATGATTTTATTTCTAAGCTCCCTGAGTCCCATGGCACACTGAGGTGCCATGTTACCAAGAAGATAACTGCAAGCAAAAAACCAGGGAATGTTCTGTGATTTTAACAGTCTCACAAATGTGTGTCGGCGTTTATAGGGAGACCGAAGGAGGGAGTTCTCAACGCTGCTGATGTGGGGCTGCTGGAAATGCAGGTCCACTTCTCCTGCCATCCTGCCATACAACAGTACCAAGGTTTCTGACAGGTAATCCAAGCCCTGTTTTGGCCTCAGCCATGTTATTCCAGCCTTCAAATCATAAGAGGGCACTTGCCTCTGGGATGCAGAGCTCAGTGCATCAAGCTTGGCGCAGGTTGAAAAGGCCTTGTGAGTGGTTCTGGTGCCTTCTGAGAGGGTCTCAGTTTTCTACAGTAGAGTTGGTTTACTGGGGGCAACGTAGAGAAGCAGAACTGGGGAAATAAAACACCTAACGGGGCAACTTCTGTGAAGGAGCGGAAAGAGCTCTTGGATGGGGACCAGAAAAGCTGAGTGTCAGCCACACCGGACTGCTCACCAGCTCTGTGGCCCCAGGCAGGTGAGAAGACCAGGGGTCTCAAAGTCAGGTGCAGCGGGGCATGGAAGGTCCCACACGGGAATAAGGTGCACCAATGAGGCTGGCGGCAAGCTGAAGAGAGTGCAGCCGGGCTGACGGGATCATCTAGTCATTTCTAGATGATCGCTGCCATCTGGAATGGCTGGTGTGGTGTTGCCAAAGCTTCTGCAGTTTTATTCAAATTCTTCCAAATGTTAAATGTTGGCTCAAAATTTCAAATGTGTTCTGCAGCCTAAACAAAACACAGCCTGCAAGCTGCCAGCCCTCAAATTCAGCATCAGATCTCTCCGAGAATCTGTTTGCTCAGCTGTGTAGGGTGAGGACGGCTGACTTAAGAAATCTCTGCCACCCTCCCAGCTTGGCATCATCAAGCCGCCTTCCCATCTCAGAACGGAGTTTCCAAGGTGGAGGGAAGGGCTGAAGGGAGCAGATTCCTCGGGCTGTTTCTCAGAAGAGGCAGAAGCTTCTCAGCCAAGGCCAGTAGGGGCCTCCCGACCCCACAGGAGAGAGCATCCCTGGGATCTCCTCTTCGTGGGCTTTACAGGGAGTGCCTGCTCTCCTGGGGGTTGCTGCCCTCACCTGATAAACACGGGCAGTCACTGCTTGTTTTGATTTTGTTCTTAACTAAAAGAACATCCAGTGCCTTTCAAGGGATGGGAAGAGGTCATGGACACCCACACACACCCCAGACCAGTTTTTCCATGAGATAGGCTCATTCATTACTGGACAGCTAGAAGTTACAGATAAACAACAAAGATGAAAACAAAAATCCCATCACTGCTAACATTCTGGCATAAACAAAGAAAAATCTATTCCTTTTTCTTCCTTCCTTCCAAGAAAAATCTACTTCTTAAAATAGATCTCCCAGAACATGCGCTATATGATAGTCTCCTAAAGTAACTGACCCAGGACTTAGGTGGGTAGCTGGGGGCAAGTCCCCATAGGAAATGCTGCTGAAAATTCACCCTGAGAATGTCTCACTGTAGCCCAAAATTTTTATGCTCTCTCATCTTTTTTCTCTTTTTTTCATAAGCTATTATTTATTAAGTGCAAGTCTTCCTTATAAAAATGTTATACTATGATTTCTAATATTCCTCCATCATGTAGATGGGGAAATGAACTTGTAGAAGTTAAGTAACTGGCCAAAATTGCTGGCTGGTAAGTGGCAGGGCCAAGACTAGGACCCAAGGTCTTTCTGACTCTAGAGCCCTAGTCCCTAGTCACTTTTTTCTTTTTTAACCCCGTTGTCCATTTAAAAAATACTTTTTTTATTTTGAAATAATTTTAGACTTACTTTTCTGTAAGTGAAAAAGTAGAGTTCCTGCATATCCTTGACCCAATTTCCCCAATGTTAACAGCTTACATAACCATGGCATAATTATCAAAAGTAGGAAATTAACGTTGGTCCCATTCTATTAACTAAATGACACACTTATTCAGATTTCACCAGATTCTCCACGAGGGTCCTTTTTTCTGTTCTATGATTCAATTTGGAATCCCACATTGCCTTTAGTTGTCATTCTTCTTAGTCTTTTTTCAATCACTAACATTTTCAGTCTTTGTCTTTTATGATCTGGATGCTTTTGAAAAGTATCGTTCATTTTTTTAATGCCATTTAATTGGGGTTTATCTGATATTTTCTCAGGATTAAATTGAGAACATGCATTTCGGCAAGAATACCACAGAAGAATACCAGCAGGGGTTACATGAATATATATTATTACTGGTGTTGTTGACCTTTGATGCTTGGTTAAGATGGTGTTCCCACTGTAAAGTTACTAATCTTCCTTTTGGAGTTAATAAATATCTTGAAGCAGACAGTTTGAGACTATGCAAGAATCCTGCTGCTTCTTAGTTGTGTTGTTTTAATTTCCGGTAATTTTTTAAATTGTGGTCAAATATATGTAACAGAAAACTTACCACTGACACCATTTTTGAGTGTATAGTTCTGTGGCGTTCAGTTCATTCACATGACTGTGCTACCATCATCACCATCCATCTCCAGAACCTAATTTCCCTCAACCAAAACTCCATACACCAATTCCCTCGTCCCCGGTAATCACCATCCCACTTTCTGTCTCTATGAATGTGACTACTTTAGGGACCTCATAATAAGAGGAACCATAAAATATTCTTCTCAAAGGTCTGCCTACTAATTTTAGCATCCATTGCTGGATTTTGCCCAAAACTGTCACTGTGGCATTCTAATGGTGATTTTCTATTTCTCTCATTTCTTCTACTCATCTGCTTTTGAAAGCATTAAAGTCTTCCTTTGATTCACGTCAGGACTGGTCAATCAAGTTTATTCTAATTCTTGGAGAGGAAGAGTTAGCAGAGAGTAGCTCAAATTGCTGTTTACTAGAAGGGAGCAGGCCTACTCCCTGCTTGTGTATCAGGACCAAAGACATAGTTTCCAGGTCCCAGTGCAAAATGGAAATGTGGGGACCCTTGTTAAAAAATTAAGAATTTCAAGATGGCAATGGCAGAGAATTAAACCCAGCACGGAGCCCTTCTGGGCCCTATACTGCACATCCACGATGCCCACCCTGTCGTGCAACCTTCCCTAGCTTCTCAGGACCTTCCCTGTACTTGCTCAGCTCTGTAGTAACCCAAAGGACAAGCAACTGTGCCCCAGGGTTGACCATGTCAGAGATCTCAAGGCAATCAAGAGGGTAAGATCACTCACTCTTTTTTTTTTTTTTTACCTGCTCTTCAGTTGGGAAGAGACTCACTGCTTCTCTTTAACTAGCTCAGTACTAAGCTAACAACACCTCCAACTAGGCTTCAGGTCTAAGGACTCCCAGATCGGAACTCCCACGGGCCCCCAGTCTCTTACCACAATGGAAGTCAGGTCCTCACTCTCGAAGCGGCTGATGGCCTGGTCCAAGGATTTATACATGGCGGCCGAGATGCGCTGGGTGATGAGTCTGTTCAAGTCAATTGATCTACCCAACAACTACATGGAAGAGACAGAGAGAAAAGTTACTTAAGGTTCTCACAGGCACATGACAACTAAATGCAATGCACTGGTAAGAAATTGGATTAAAAGCAAAAGGACATTACTGGGACAAATGAGGACTCTATGCAGAAAACAGTATTGTTAAATTTCCTGAGTATGATCATTCTATCTTGATTATGAGAGAATGTCCTCATTCTTAGGGGATACATGCTGAGGTATTCATGGGTAAAGTGTCATGACGTCTGCGACTTACTCTCAAACAGGTGAGAAAAAGAGTACATATATTTAAAACGTATATATAATTTAATGTTACATATATATGTATTGTTATAAATTATTTATACATACTATATCTTTATATACTACATATATTTACTATTTATATACCACTTACTATATGTTATATTTATAATATATATACTATATACTACTTATATATTTATATACTATTTACCTATACTTTGTATATTTACACACACACATATTCATATACTGTACTTTGCTAGGTGCCCAAGGATTATTCTTAACTATTTTTTTTTACTGTATTTGCAAGAAAGAAAAAATATGCATATAAGAGAAAATAAAGCAAATGTGGTAATATATTAATGATCACAAATCTGCCTGTAGAGTATATATATGTTCATTGTGTTATTCTTTCAACTTAAGTTTGAAATATAAGAAGTTGAGGAAAAACAGGATTCATCCAGACTGTAGGAAAAGGCTCAGGACAGGCTCCGGCAGCCCATGCAACGCTGACATCCTAAATTTAGCTATGAGGTCCTTCCCACATCGGTCCCGTGCCCCACCAAACACAAGAGGGTAGCAGCTCCCTCAGCAAGGGCCTGCTACATGCCTTTATGGGGATCAGTATAGAAGCAGGAGAATGAAGGACTGGATGGAAAATAGAACTTACGCTAATTTCCACCAGGGCACACACGTGTGGGCACTATCATAGATGCGATGCAAATAGCAATAAACATTTATTGAGTACCTGCTGTGTGCATTGTACTTTGCTAGGTGTCCAAGGATTATTCTTAACTATTTTACTTCTTTTTCTATCTCCCTTTTGGGAGATTTTCTACCAACTGACTAGGATCCCTGGCAGCTACCTTGTGCACACATGGAGCCCTCAGTATTTAATGTCCTGTGGCTAATTCTGGCCGCATCAGTAACTGCCTGAGAGGCTGGAGGAAAAGCACTGAGCTCCTGCTGTTGAGAGATGAAGATGTTCTTTTCTCTCTCATTATTCTCCATTCCCCTTTGATTTCTCATGGCAATGAAAATGCCCAGGGTTTCCAGGGTAACCCCTTCCTCTTCACCTGGGGCACTTCTCAGCCGTGGCCCTTCACTTGGGTCTTCCCTACAAACACTGTGGCCCACACACCAAGCGCAGAGGTCACGGCATAAAGGCCATACCAGCTTCACGCGGCTGACAGCGTGGTGTAGGAGTCAGCTGGCTGGAGCATCTCGTATTTTGCCTGCCTGGCTCACATTAACATTTTTAAGCAGGGATCTGTGTCTGAGCTCCTGGCAGCATTTATTGCCTCTACATCTGGGGTCAAATGTGAACAAAAAGCAACTCCACAAAAACACACTAATTTCTAGCGTGGGTTTAGCGGACATGCTTCATTTCAAAGCACGAAGCAGCCCACCTTCGTTTAGACCAGCATGAGGGCCCTGCTCAGGAACAGTTACCCATTTTTGAGCGGCAGTCCCCATGGAAGGAAGTGAGCCATGGCTTATGACAAGAGGACAAAGGCTTTGGTGGCCAAACTCCCCAGAGGCAAGCTGCCGGTGGACTGAGAAGCCTAGAAATTGAACCACAGGATGCCAATGCCTCTTTATTGCTTATAAGATTCCGAGGCTGGGCTACACTCATGCTCAGAAGTCCACATGGGCAGCACGCAGGGCGGAGAGTATGCAGTCCTGATCTCCAATCTCCCCGCTAACTTCACGGCTACTCTCTAGCCAGTCCCACCTGCCCTCTGGCTTTCTTCACCGCACCTGCACGTGTCTCTGTTTCAGCAATGTTTCGTAGCGGTTGGACGGTGGATATGGAATGATGACTCCATAATTCTTACATTCGGCCCTAAAACGTTTATCCAACAGGACACTGCAAGGAATAAAAGTTACATAAAGGCCAGTAAACATAACTGGGGATGGTTTTCAAATACCCAGCGCCATCTATTTCAGACCAGAGGATCTACAGAGTTTGTGTATATAGCATATTTGAAATGATAATCATCTTAGAGACACTGGAAGCCCAGCTCACTGTTAAAACGGCATCCTATTCAACCCAGACACTTGCTAAGTGACTACTTTGTGGAAGGCTGTGTAATCTGCGTTTTCCCTGAAAGTACATCCTTTGTACTTTCGATCATCAAGAGCCATTCACTTCATTTAATACGCATTCTGTGTTAACAGAGACTGGTGCGTTCTGATGTCACCTCCTACTTGAAATCTGTCAGAGCAATTCTAGCTGCCAAAGCAAAATGAAGGAAATTCTCTGTGTGGAAAGAAAAGTAATTTATGACAGTTAAGTAACTATTCTTGACATTATTGGTTTGTACATTTAGATTTCCAATAAGAAGATAGATACCTATTTTGAGGTTTTTCTTGACCAGTACTGTTATGGGTTCTTGGAACCCAGGAATTTACTCAGTCAACACATACTGGCACTACCAACGAGCCTCCAACACTTGACAAGTGTCTTACCCCAACTGCTTCACCGGTCTCCTATCTGGCCTTTATATACCTATTCTTGCTCACCACCAATCCATTCTCCACATTTTTGTTTTTAATAAGGGCAAATTTTTAAAAATAAAAATTGAATCCAGTTCCTGTCATACTTTTGATATCATCCCGTGGTATTTGATTCCTCCTAGGGAAATGCCTACAAGCCCCATCATCTGAGCCCTGCCTACCTCTCCAGCTTTATCGTGCAACTTGTCTCCTCTTGTGGTCTGTGGACAAGGCATTTACATGCACTAATTCACATTAATGGTCTCAACTGTCCTATGGAATAGGCATGCTGTCAGTACAATACTTCTGCCCCAGGGACTTTGCACAAGCATTTCCTTTGCCTGCGATTTCCTGACCCATCCTTCACTTAGTTTTATTTAATGCCTATCAACTTCAGGTAAGAACTCAAATGTTAGTTTCTCAGGACAGCCTTTCCAGTTTCTCACCCCAAAGACTAGTGCAGGTTTAACTGTCATGGATTTCCATACTCCCATGAATGTTTCCTTCACGGGGAGCACGCAACCTCCCTTGCCACTGTGCTCTCATCAGTTTGTATTAACGTCTGATATCCCTCCTAGACTGTAAGCTCCATGAGGGGCAGCACCAAACCTGCCTATTTTCCTTTCTCCTATATTTTAGCACCCAGTCCAGGCCCATGGAATCACTCAAATTTCCTTAGGGGCTAAAGAAGAGAGGTTTTACGACAGGAAACCATGTCTCACAGGTGGCAGGCTACGAACGTTTGTTGCTCACAGCCCCGGGACCCTCGTACCTGCCAGCCATGGCTTTGTAGTAGGCAAAGATCTGGTCCGCCAGCTTGTAGACAAACTGATCAAAGCACAGGTTCACCTGGGGACACGGAAGCAGGAATGTCAGCGGTGCATGTCTAGCTTTAGCACAGAAAGCGCACACAGCTGCAAGGGGTCAGCTGGGCAGTATTGTGTGCTGTGGGGCAAGATACTTCGAGTAGCAAAAAAAGAAGATCCTGTGGTTAAGTAAGTTAAGAAGTTTAATCCCTTGCTCTCAAGGCCCTTAGTTAGGCACAGAGAAGGCCAAGTTCAAAAAGCTGTTGAGGAACGGCCCTCCTCGTATGTCCCATCCTCGATGTTCCAAGGTGGCCCGCCCAGGGGGAAGGCAAGATAGCTCTTCATATCCTGCAATTGCTCACATCATTCCACCCACCCTCTTTCCTGCTAGACTTTCTCATCTTTTCCTTTCATTTTATTTGCCCTTCCTTGACAAAGGAAGAAGTTGATGGTGCTTGGAAACTGAAAAATCTCTTTTTTTTTTCAAACTTAGCTTAGAAACCTTTGGTTCTTAATGAATATGGGATCATCTTGCCATTTCAGTGTCTCATCACATGGGTGGCAGACCATGAGGCTTAGGTAAGAAGTTCATGTCAGACACAGGATCAAAACCAAACTGTCCACCGAGGACAAGAAACAGCCAAGGGTGGGGCTTTAATGACCTGGGGATGTGGTGGTGGCAGGGCGCCATGGGACTTCAAAGGGAACAGAGCATATTTAGGTGACTGATCTTCCATGCTTTCCTCACCAAATTCACAGCTCCGGAAGGTTAATTCTTTATCTGAAGAGCTCCCGTATCTTTGATTTTACACCCCAAATGTTATTCTGAACATACAGCACAGAGCTATGTGCAGTTCTGCCCTCATCTGCAGATGACCAAGGCCTCTGCTCTGGAATTCATGCTTCAAGGGCCCCCACTGGGCCTTCCTCCAGTTGAAGAACCTGCAGAGTCAAGGTGGGGGTGCCCACTAGTCATACCCTAAGCTCCCCTTCTAGAACCAGCCTTGAGTATCCTTGCCCCAAGAGCCCAAGCCCCTTCCAGACCTGTCTGGTATTTTCCCTGGGATCATCCCTGAGGGTGGACTGCACAGCAGGTGTATGTACCTCTAGGGTTGAGGTTTAGCTAAGGGGCCACTGTTTGTGGGCAGTGGTGGCAGACACAACTGGGTATCCACACACATACACACAAGGCCCTTCATCGTGCAGAACAGAGTTGGGCGATGGGGAGAGAAAGGGGGCAGGTCACAACTTGTGGGTCTCGATGTATACTTTGGCCCCATGCCCTCAAATGTTACCCAGGGCCTGGCTGTGTGCTTTCTTTCCATTTATTTTAAAAATCTCACTTGGCTACATGACACCCTAGATTTGTTTTGTTTTCAACCTGTTGGAGAACACAAGTATATGAGATCTTGTCAGAACATGGAGTTGTCAAAGCTGAGATGCAACCAGTTCACTTGTCTCCTAGAATCTCTCTTCCCAAGTCTGTGCTCAGAAGAGATCTGTGTTGGGGTCCACCAAGGTCTTCAAATCCCATAGAAATCGGAGGGTAGAGGAGGAAAACAGCATCTCTACTAGCTTTTCTTGCTAATCCTAAAATGTCATGTCTTTCCTTTATAAATAAGAATGTTTTATATTTCTATGATATTTTTACCTAATTGGCCTCAGTCTGTATTTATAGACCCCGTGCAATTAAGCAGAACCCGGACTATCATTCCAGATCCCAGAAGGCAAAACTGAGAAATTGCGGTAGCCACCACTCCCATTGGCCTCATGCAGGTGCCAGGATTGTACTTCCTTGCTCCTCTCTGAAAAGGAGGTGCAGGCATGTGACTCGCTTTGACCAATGACACGTGTCATTTCCAGGTGGAAGCTTGAAGTACCAGTAACACCTCCCCCTGCCATGGCAATTAGTGAATGATCCATATGGGTCCCAAATTGAAGACTACATGGACCAGAGCCCCCAACCAACCCATAAGGGAGAAATAAACCTTTGATTTTTAAGGTACTAAAAATTTGTGATTATTTGTTACTGCAGCATAACCTAGCTTGTCCTGACCATTACAGAAATAAAGCCATTGAGTGACTCTCTAATAAATAGCTTCATAGTTGAAAGGATGGTTACTTTAGTCCTACCAGTACTAGCAAGTGACCCTGGAAGCTGTGTGACATTGGAGTAATGAAAGCTGACCACTTCAAGTCTAAGATTTATTATCTGTAAAACAGATAGTAGCATATAGCTCTTTAAATTGCTGAAAAGGTTATTTAAAAAGTCGTTCTCTCTCCAGTGCTTAGCACTGCGCCTGGCAAGTTGTAAATATATAATAACTGATACACGATATTGCTGTTGTTATTATTATTATTAACCAAATAATCCAACCATAAAAGACCCATTAGAAAATTAATTTTACCCATGCAGTTCTATCATTGGCCATCCCTTAATACGTTTGATGATCATGATTTGTAAAGATCACTCTCCATATAGGGAATGATATTATAATGGCATTGTATGGGGGCAGGTGGGAGCTACACTGTGGTGAGCATAGCATGACATACAGAGTTGCAGAATCACTGTGTTGTACACCTGAGACTAATGGAACACTGGGTGTCAATTATACTACAATCTTAAAAAAAAAGTCATAAAAAGAGATCACTCCCCAGAACAAGTCATGGATCCTGCATTGCTATGGTCTGAAAGTTTGTGTTGCTCCAAAATTCATATGTTGAGATCCTAATCCCCAAAAGCGATGGTATTAGACAGTGGGGCCTTTGGGAAGTGATTAGGTCATGAGGGTAGAGCCTTCATGAATGGGATTAGCGCTTTATAAGAGACAGACTGGGGGCACCCGGGCGGCTCAGTCGGTTAAGTGTCTAAGAGATCGAGTGTCGTGAGATTGAGCCCCACGCTGTGCTCCGTGCTCAGTGTGGAGTCGGCTTGAGAGTCTCCCCTTTTCCCTCTGCCCCACCCTCCACTTGTGTGCCCGTGTGCTCATTCTCTCTCTCTAAAATAAATACTAAAATCTTAAAAAAAAAAAAAATAAGAGACCACAGAGAGCTCCCTCACCCCTTACACTACTCAAGGATACAGTGAGAAGTCTGTGACCCAGAAAGGTGCCCTCCCCCAACAGTGCTGGCTCCCTGATCTAGACTTCCAGCCTCCACTTCTGCTGTTTATAAGGCACTCAGTCTGTGGTTATTTGGTACAGCAGCCTGAATGGACTAAGACAGCCCACTTTGTGCCAAGAGCTAAAGATTTAAAAAGTCCAGACTCTCGGAATAAGATTATAGGAACAAAAGGAGAAGTGTGTCACTTGCCTCGGCTTCAATCTCATCGTACAGGAACTGCTTCTTAAACTTGGTCAGAGCGTAGTAGGCGCTGTCATTGTACAGGTCCAAGGGATAGAGCACGTACCTGAAGAGAGAAAAGTAGAGGCCAGCAGCTTACTCATCCCTCTGAAGGCAAGCCGACTGATGCGGCCTGGGAAATACAAAGGCTTGGGTGAACACGTGAACAAGCTTGGGGTTAGGAAGAGAGAGCCTTCCGGCATTCTGATGTTTCCAGCCTGCCTTAGGAATGCCTTACTTTACGGTCTGCCTGTAGAAATCAAAAGTCCATGATGCTAATAAATCCAAGACCTGAAAAAATGAGTTTGGGACCAAAAGAAATCGGGTGGCAGTTAAGGACATTAGCTTCCTGGTCCCCAGAGATGACTATCTTCCAAGCACGGCTGCCCTGAGACTGACAGAGCACAGGAAGGGCAGCCGGGCTGGTAGAATCCCAAGCCTATCTGCAAGGCTGAGTCAAATCTGGTGTGACTTGATCCTTGGCACGAGTGTTCTCCCTAGTGGGGTACGCGGCCTAATCTGGAAAGTTCTGGGAAGAACAGAGCTCTCTAGCAAACTATCCTCCATCTACACCCTGGGAACCTCCTTGCTGACCCAATCCTGCCTCTTACTCCATCATGGAAGGTTCTTTGGTTTCCAGGATATGGTCTGTGAGAATCCAGGGCATGGACATCTCGATTGGGAACTGGATTCGCCGGCCCATGGTTAACTCCAGGAAGAATTCTCGGAACCAGAGCTGAGAGAGGTCACAACACTGCTGCAGGGCTTCTGAAAGCATAAAGGAAAGAGTTGTGGGTTATACACGAGAAGCACCAAAAGCTCTTTGCTCTTATTGTTATTAACTTGGTTCTTACTGCTTTTGTTATTCTTACCACTAAACTAGAATACAGTAGGTACTCATGAATACGACTTGATCAGTAGATCCTGCTGTCTTGTACCTGACAGCCAGTCTAACATCTATTTAGAAAACAGCATTTGTTAAGCTCACAGTAGCAGCCCCGGGGGGAGGAGAGCAGTGATGTTTTAGAGCTTTAGGTGCCCCCACAACCTCCATCATCCCCCTACAAAGCCATCCTGAAGATCCACAGTCGGGCCTCCTTGTACACGGTAATTCTGGCTTCTACCTGCTCAGAAGCCTTGAAGGGCCCTGGTCTGCACTCTGATGGAGAAGTTTGGATTGTTTGTTAAGGTCACCCTTCTCAGTACCAACAGGTGCATTACCACTCCCACGTCTCTGGATGCTGCTCTCCTTCCCCCTGCCCTGTTCCCCCTGCACGGTCATCCTGCTAACAGGAGCACAGGAATGGGGGACACAGGGTTGGGGTGCAGCCTGGAAGCCTCCTTTGCTATGAGCAACAAGACTAATCAGCTCAGAGCTGCTGCTTAGAAGCAAAAGGCTGACCGAATGCCTGGTTGTGTCTGTGGGTATGTTGCTGGTTTTAAAAAAGTCCTTAGTAGAGGGTACTAAAGACTTCATGACAAATAAACCACAAATGTCTACCCGACGAAGTTAGCGGAGTGAGAATAGCTGGACTGAGCCTGGCCTTTCCAAGCCCACCAGAAAGTGTGCATTTTTTTACCTCGGCGGCAAAATGTGCCCCTTTTGGTCAATGACCACGTTTTTTGGCAACTTTTGGTCCAGTGGCTTTAGTCGGTCTGGGATCTGGGACCCTAATCCTCTCCCCACTGCCCGGACACCGTGACTCACCACTGATATTGAGCAGGTGCGTGAAGAAGAAAGACTGTTTGTGGAAGTCCTCTATGGCAAGGACGATGGGTCCATCGAGGCTGCTTCTCAGAGTCTTCTTGGAGCCGCTCTTGTCTGCGATGAGTGATTCCAGCATGGTCCGCACCATGTACAGCTTGAAAGAGAAAGTGAGATGAGAAGGTCAGGGGCTGGCCCTCCACCCTGGGGTAAAGGTTTCTCTGTGCTGTATTTATATTTTTCTTTTTTTCTGCAGATGTCTGCTCTTAAAAAGCACTGTCTTAAGGAAGTACCAGTTTAGGGTTGGAGAAGTGAATTTGGAACATGTAAACCCTCATGAGGGAGACCGGTCAGCCCAGGAAGGAAGTTCTGCCCAGGGCCTGATAACAAGTCTTTCAAGGCCTAGGTTTTTGCCTGCTCTGCTTGGCCAAGGGCATGGGCATCAGAGGAGAACCTCAGTTCACATCACTCTGGAGTCACTCTCTGCTTTACTGGTTGGCTGGGTGGCATCATGGGTGGAGCCCCGGACTTGGGTCTAAGGCCAGGCCCTCCTGCTGTCTTGCTGTGTGACCTTGGGCAACAAAGTCCCACTCTGGGTCTCAGTGTTCTTATCTGCTAACATGAGGGGATTGCACCAGCTGCTTTCTCAAACCAGTTCCCTTCAGCTCTAACATTTTGAGGAACTGCGAAATGCGATTTGATCAGAGCAAACCCCCCACCCGGCCGACCTCAAGCTTCTGACCCTTAGCACTTTGAATCCATTACTGAGGGATGGCGCCCTCTGGTGGCACCAGCTGCGTCGCACAGCCTACCAAAACCCTGGGCGGAAAGCGGGGGAAGATGGGTACTTACACGGGAGGTCTACTAGACAATCAACTCCCACTTACAGAGGGCCTTAAGTGCAAAGGGTGCAAGGGCTAATCTAGATCTTCCCACATCATCTGCCTTTGAATCTTAGGGCTGGAAAGGGCCTTGAGGAGCCAGGCTAGTCCATTCCTGCTGCCTCCTGGAGAAGTGTACCCCAACCAACCCAGCCAGGCGGTGTTATACCAGGGATCGGCAGCCTCTTCGGCCCTGGGTACCACCAGTGGGGTGAAACAAAGCCCGCGGGGACCACTGGCAGGCCTAAGACACAGGTAGGAGAAAGGAGGAGGGCACGGGAGGGCAGGAGAGACAGGGAAGAGGGAGAGAGAGGAGAGAGAGAGAGAGAGAGAAAAGCAAGAGGTATTGTATACGGTGGGGAAGCCGCCGCGACTGCTAGGGGCCACTTGCCGACCACCGCTCAGAAGCTCCAACCTCCCTCTGCCACCGCATCTGCCCTGGCTGCCTCTGGATCTCCTCGAGGACCATCCCCACCACGCGCCTGGCCCTCGGCCACACAGGTGAGGGGCCCAGCGCCCCGGCCACAGCACTTCCCGCGGTGGTCCAAGAGCTGCCACGGTGGCCAGTCCACCCTCGCCAACCCCATCGGGGGGCAGGCCTGAGCATCCCTAAGAAGCACGGTTCTAATGACGGCCTTTGGGGTCATCCAGGAGAGGATTCATCAAGTACCATCCATGTGGAATTGACTGATTGGTGTCAAATTCTATTTGAAAATCCATTCTGTCGATAAGAGGGGGACCTCTTTGCCCACCTCCTCCACCTGAACAGAGCATTTAACTCATCAGACCAGCCAACATCCCAGCTGTGCTAGATGCCCATCTACTGTGCTCGGCAGGCCCTCACGGAGCCCTGGGGCGGGAGTCAGGAGACCTGGGTTCTTGTCCCACCTCCACCTGTGACTCACCTTGTGACTTAGACAAGTCACTTCCCCTCTCTGGACCTCAGTTTCCCTATCTGTAAAACAAGGAGGGCACTGGGACTAGCTTGTCTCTAAGGGCTCTTCCAGCTTTGCCTGTTAGGAGTCTACTCAGTGCATCCGTGCCACCTCACAGGATTTGGTGGGGGGCTGTTAACTTGGGGCCACACTCCCCTCTCAGACCACCTACACAAACACTCCTTCTGCCCCTCTCCTCTCCTTCTCTCTCCCTGTCTGCCTGTTTGGCCCTTCCCCTCATCCTCCTTTCCAGTTTCCCTTCTGCCTTGTCTTGTGTCTCCCTCACTCAAGTCTTGGGGCTTACAGAAACACCCAAGAGCCCTGCTTAGCCCCTCCAGGATATTCTAGGCTGGAAAGGCCTGTGGTCCTGGATATTACACAGAAGTGTTTGTAGAAGCTTCCTTGGGATTTCCAAGACCAGCAAGATTAGTGCACACTGGCCCACGGGCTGTGAAGCCAAGGGAAATTACAGTGCTGAGAAGCCGTCCTGCCCCTTCCCTCCTCCCCGTCCCCTGCCCAGACACAGACACACACACATGGGGGGGGGGGCGGTGCTGGGCCTCAGACAGCTCATCTCAGATGGTTCAGATTCACGACTGCAGAGCTGACACAGGCTGAAAGGTCATGTCAAGGGGGATTTCCTGTAAGACTCCTGAACGTTCAATGGACCCTTAGGCTTTTTTCCAATACCTCAAAAAGCCTACCAGGAATTGCTTATCCTTAAGTAAGTGGCAAGGATTCAACCAAGATGCCCAGATTCTTTACTTTTTTTTTTTTGCTAATTTACTGACTACTTTGGATAAATCACAGGTGACCTCTTGTTCTGAAGCTTTGGTTAGCAACCCTGGATATCTCTGATTACTAGACTTTCTCTAAGGGGTCAAGGGCTTTCGGTACTTGTGCATTTGAGGGGATAATAATGTTTTGTCAGTAACATGATCTCCTTAAAAATTTTCACTTAATGGAGAAGATAATCAGAGTACAGAGAGATCAAGGTGCTTGCCCAAGATCACACAGCATGTCAAAGGCAGAACTCGTGAATTCCCAAGCTAGGATGTCACTGCAGGGTGAGGGGGCCAGGGTTCACTGAAGAGGGACGGGATAGATACATATAGATTCTACTTTAAATTCCTCCTGCACTTTGGAACCTATACTTCACAGGGCTAGGAGATAGCCAGTCCTGGTATGACCCCCATTTGCCAGATTAGACAACTGAGGCACAAAGAGACTGTGTAACGTGCCCGAGGTCACACGGGTTTCTAGGACTAGAATCCAGGTCTCCTGAATCTTAAGCTGGTAGTCCTCCCTCCTGTATTAAAACAAGATGGCAGAGTAAGACTAGCACAGCTGCCGGACCCTGCCCCTCCTGCCTGAGGCCCCCCAGCCCCTGAGCTACCATGGCCTGGCTGGCCTTGGAGGCACTTACCTGTGTGCTGGAGGGCCCCACAGCACGCCGGGGCACCTTGATGTCAAATCCCCCTTTGGGATCCTTTTCCCCTCTCAAGCACGGGTCATTGGGGGGCTCTCGGCCCCCCTCCCAGTCACAGATGGTTTTTCGAATTGCCTGCAGGACACTGGGAAGGAAGAATGGATACTCAGATCTGGTTTCAGCATTGGAAGGAGGCCCTGCAAGCCTGTTTCTAGAGTCTGTGATGGCCCAGGACCCCTTGTCTTAGAATTCCTGGGCGTTGGGGAAGCGTGCTCATTTCTGGCCCCACCCACACCCCAAGAGGTGCTGGCTTCCCAGGCTTGAGCCATGGTACAGAAATCTGCTCTTCAATAAGCACCACAGGGGACTCTGATGCCCCCTGGCTATTTTTCTTTCTCATTCCAGGGGAGCTTCATTAGTCCAATTACATCTCCGTATGTTTGAAGTTTTAATAATAGCTTACATTTGTTGCATACTTACTCTGTGCTGCTGTGTGCTCAGGTCTACACACTGATTATATCACTTTATCATCCCAACAACCAGTGTATTCCACATTTTACAAATGAGGAAAACTGAGGTTCAGAGAAAGTACGTTACTTGACCAGGTACACACAGCTAGTGGTGGATACAGGCTTCAAACCCAGAGACTGAGGCTTGATTCATTTCAAATGTCCAGTCTCCTAAGAAGGCGTCCTAGAACTTGTGGGAACTTGCTAGGAGGGTTCAGTGTGTGTGCAGAGGCGGTGCTGGAAGCTGACTGAGCCAGGGACTTCCCCTGTGTTCTGCATATATAGCACCTCTGGTTTTTTACGTGACCCCTGGAAAGGGCCATCTGAAGACCCACCTGATAAGGACGTTCTTCTTCTTCCGCACGGCCTGTCTCAGGGGCTCGCGCAGCGTCACTTGGGCGAAGTCCTGCAGGGCCGCGTAGATGGTGTTCCTGATGGCCTGGTTGAAGACGCTCTCCATCCTGCCCATGAGGACCTGGAGGCCTTTGATCATGGCGATCACCTGGCCAGGCACAGATCAAGGTCAGGCTCACTGTGCCTCATCTTTTACCTATCCGTCCAGCACCCTTCACCACGCTGCAGGGAGGGTGCTGCCTGAGAGGTCCAGAAGCCAGAGGCCAGCGCTACTCAAAGTGCCAGTTCACAGCAAGGTAAGAAACGTGTGCCCAAATGGAAAGGAGTGCACTGCTTCCTTCATCAAGGAAAGTCCACTCCAGGCACAGATGTTAGCTAAACGGCACAGCGTGCTTCTCGGCGCAGCTCACTTTCACTCTGGCTCCAGCTCCCTAGCTTGGTGCGACTGCCGACAAAGAGCAGCCAGTTCATGGACCACACTTTGTGGACCACTCTGACTTCCAGAGGCCTCTCTACACACCATGAGCCCACAGACCGTATCAAACAGAACTTTGTTTGACCATAACACTTTCTATAGAGTTTTGACAATCTTTGCTTTTGAAATAATTCGGTCATTTGCTGTTTGAGTCCACAGAGCTTCCTCCTATGACATAAAATCTCTGTAGAAGTCTCAGGTGAGGGAAAATCTCTGTTCTTCTGTTTGCCTCCTTCCCCCCTGCCCCTTCACCTACTCATCTGGCTGCAGAGACGGGGAGACAGGTATTTGTGATGAGTATATCCTGGCCCGCCTTGGAGTGTGCGCCTTCTCTTCTGGGTTCCTCTCTTCGTGCAATCACCCTTCCCTCCCCATCCCAAGGAAGAGAGGCATGTGTTCCTGCAGTTACTCTGTCGGTTTCCCAGTAGGTGAGTTTAATGGGACAAAGGAGGAATAAGAAGTCTTGGGTGGAAGTCACATCCCTAGTCTAGCGTCACCAGCAACATGCCTGATCCTTTGGCCCCCGTCAGCCACAAGTGCCAATATCTAGAGTGAGTCAGAATTCAGAGGGGACAGCACAAGCCGTATTAGCCTCCTGACATGATGTGTCAGATCTGATGACATGACCACACGTCATCATGATGTGCTGGACTTCCACGCTCTGCACCAGGCTGTAAGTGCTGCCGGGGCAAGGCCCAGCAAGGCTGTGCACGCCCTATGCCCACCGCCTGGGCCTGCAGTGAGCCGTCAGAACATTTTTGTTGAAAAGGAACGAATAAGGCAATGAATGAGTTTACATGCTAAGATTTTTTCCTTCCTCTAAACCTTAAAAGAATAAATAGAACATCTGAGGTTAGAGGAAATGGTGAGAACCAAGTTCAGGCAGTGAGGATTTTCATTAGAACCAACAAGTATAGTGGTTTCGCGGGAGAGAAGCTTTATTGTAGAGAAACAATGGGACAGAAGCCTTAAGGGAACATTACATCACAAAAGCATCTGGGCTCCTGGCTAGAGACGTAACTAGGAAATAATGAGACAAAGTAAGGAAGAGATGATGAAGATGTTTCAGAATAATTCCAAACACAGCAGGGTGTGCGGATCTGTTACACCTAAGGGAAAAATCTTTGCAACTCTGGGCTAGGCAGAGATTTCTTAGCTAGAACACAAAAATCACAAACCATAAAATAATTGGTAAGTTGGACTTTATCAAAATTAAAAAACAGTTGTTCTTCAAAAGGTACCCCTAAGAAAATGAAAAGGCAAAGTCATCAATTAGAAAAAATATTTACAACATATATATGACTAGGGACTTGTATCTACAACATATAAAGAGTTCTCACAATTCAATATGAAGAAGACAGAAACCCAATTTAAAAAATGGGCAAAAGATTTCAGAAGACAGGATTTCACAAAGGAAGATATATGAGTGGCCAATAAGCACATGAAAAGATGCTCAATATCATCAGTCTTCAGGGAAATGCAAATTAAAACTCCAATGAGCTTTCACTAAATAGCCATTAGAATGACTAAAATTAATAAAATGATAGAATCAAGGATTGAGGGTGTAGAGCAATAGTACTCTCATATACAGTTGGTGGGAATATAAAATGGTACCTCCACTTTGGAAAACCATTTGGCAGTTCCTTAAAAAGTTAAGCAAAAAGTTAAGTCACCTACAATATGACCATTCCAAGAGAAATAAAAACCTACATCTATACAAAGACTTATACTCAAATCTTTAAAGTTTATTCATACTAGCCCAAAGCTGGAAATGGCCCAATGTTTATCAACAGTTGAATGGGTAAGCAAATTACAGTATATATCCATACAATGGAATAATACTCAACAATAAATGAAACAAACTATTGATACACAGAACAATGGGGATAAAACTCAAAATTATGATGGTGAGTAAAAGAAGCCAAACAAAAAAATACCAACCAAACAAAATGATAAAAAATGCCAACAAATCTATAGTGACAAAAAAAAAAAAAAAAAAGTGATCAGGCCCAAGGACAGTGGGAGGATATATGGTAAGCAACACAAAGTCTTTAAGGGGAGATGGAAATGTTCTGCATCTTTTTTTTTTTTTAAAGGGAATGCTTTGTGAATTTGTGTGTCATTCTTTTTTTTTTTTTTTTTTTTATTTATTCATTTGAGAGAGAGAATGAGATAGAGAGAGAGCATGAGAGGGGAGAGGGTCAGAGGGAGAAGCAGACTCCCTGCTGAGCAGGGAGCCCGATGTGGGACTCGATCCTGGGACTCCAGGATCATGACCTGAGCCGAAGGCAGTCGCTTAACCAACTGAGCCACCCAGGCGCCCTTGTGTGTCATTCTTACAGAGGGTCCATGCTAACCTTCTCTGTACTGTTCCAATTTTAGTACATGTGCTGCCAAAGAGAGCACAGAATGTTCTGCATCTAATCTTTTTTGTTTCACAGGGCATATACAATGATCAAAACTCTTGGCTTTAAGTGGATACAGTTTATTGAATATAAATTATACCTCAATAAAGATAACAAAAATACTATACTATCCTCATGAAGCTATCAAACGCATGGCACAAGAACGGGGTCTTCGAAAAGGAACATTCAGAGAACAAGATGGAGCTTCTGGACATTAAAAATATAATAGGCACAATAAAAAATACTAATAAAGAGTTGAACTTTAGAAAATATCCCATAAAACAGAACAAAAATAAGTGATGGACAATAAGACAGAAAAGGTAAGAAAATGAGACACTAAATCTGACAACTCATCTCATCTTGGTTTCCACCTGTAGTTCTTTGATCATTCATCAGTTTGGGCATTTTTCTTATCTCTTTTAGTCATTGGTTTTGTCCTTGTTTCTGTTGTTGGTTTCCTTTTGCCCATTTTTCTAGTGGAGTGAATGCTTTCCCTTGGATTCTTGGGAACAGAATGAGTTTCTAATCATTTCTGAATGGTAACTTTTTTTTTTAAGATTTATTTATTTAGAGAGAAAGAGAGCATGAGCAGGAGCAGCAGAGGGAGAGGGAGAGAATTGCAAGCAGACCCTGTGCTGAGCATGGAGCCTGACGCAGGGCTCCATCCCCCACCTAGAGATCACGACCTGAACTGGGACCAAGGGTGGGTCGCTTAACTGACTGCAACACTCAGGCGCCCTTGAAGGGTAACTTTTGACAGAGATGAATTCAGGCGGGAGGAGGAAGATAGGGAAGTGGACGCACAAGGAGGACCATGGCTGCCGTCTTGCTCAGAGGCACTCCCGGAACCACCAGGATCAACACCAAGCAGCAGCCTCGGGGTAGGGGGGTAATGCAGGGAGTCAGCACCCACCTCGACAAAGGCAAACTTCTCCTCACTGGTGTAGTTGTAGCGCGTGGCTCTCTCATACTCCTCCGCCGTGCCAGGGCAGTCCTTGTTGCAGAACTTGTCAGTGGGGTGAACCAGCTTCCAGGAGTACTGGGGAGACAGGAAGAACCCAAATGTCCATCAGTGGATGAAGGGAAAAACCAAACGTGGTGTGTCCATGCAGGGGAGTGTGACTCAGTCATAAGAGGGAATGAAGTTCTGATTCATGCTCTAACGTGGATCGTGGTTCTTGAAGGGATGAAGTGAAAGAGGCCGGACACAAATAACCACAGAGTATGTAATTCTACTTATGGGAAACATCCAGAAGAGGGAGATCTTTAGAGAGAAGACAGATTACTTAGGGTTGTGGGGGTCGGGAATGGGGGTTGATTGCACAGGGTTTCTTTTGGAACTGATAAAAAGATTCTAAATTTGACTGTAGTTGCACAATTCTGCAAATATACTAAAAACCAATGAATCTACATTTTCAGTGAGTGAATGGTACAGTGTGCGAATTATATCTCAGCAAGGCTGTTAAAAGAAGAGTGCTGGGGAGAGGCAGAGGCAGACAAGAGTCCGTGTGCACAGAGGTCAGGCTGGAGGGGCCGGGGGAGGGGCAGGCCCTCTGCCTTCAGGACACCTACCACCTCCATGACGTGGGCGCTCCACTTGGATAAAAGCTGCAGGCCCCGCAGGGCCAGGTCAAAGAGCTCGCGGTATTCCTCGTCTGACTTCTGGCTGTCCAGCCCGGAGCCTGTCACCACCTGGGGAACATGGGCCGTCACGCTCACCATGTATGTGCCTGGCACGTTTAGACATTATTTCACTGATTCCCCCAAGAATAATACAAGGGAGGTGCTATTATTATACCCCCTGGATAGATAAACTGAGGTTCAGACAAGTTCTTTGTTGAAGGCCACATGGCTTGTAAATGGCTGAGGGTTTAAACTCAGATGGTGTGACGCCGTAGCCCCACTCACAACTACCCTGTTATACTGCAGGGAGGCGGCTTTCAAATTTTTTAAACTGCAAATTACAGTAGGAAGTGCACACCCCAGAGTGACTCAGGAACACATACCTGCATAGAGATCTTAAATATATATATATGAACCAACGCTTTTCATGAAGCAACTTTACTCTTAACACATGAGAATTCCTCTGATTGTCTATTCTATGTCATACACAATGCTCATCATAAGTCACTAAATTAACTTCACAGCTCATTAATTAGATATGACACACCGATTGAAAAGTGCTGGACAAACATCTATTTGAATGTGTATTATTCCATAAGGCAGTATGGATGTATGCATGTGCATATAGATATATGTGCATACATCTACGTCCATGCATATGTGTATATACGCATACGTGCACGCACGTGCGTGCACTCATATATGCATACGTGCATACGTGCACGCACGTGCATACGTGTATGTAGGTACATATATGTATCTACATATAGAGTCAGTCCTCATTGTTTGTGGGTTCTGTATTTGTGAATTTGTCTCCCTAAAATTTCTTTGTAATCTCCAAATCAATACTTGCAGTCCCTTTACTGGTCATTCGCAGGTTATGTGCAGAATGGTGAAAAATCTGAGTCATGTCCCAGCTGAGGGTGAACATGGTGAATCTCTGCCTTCTTGTTTCAGCAATCATGCTGTATACGTGTCCTTTTCATGGTTTATTTAATGCCACGTTTTCCATATTCTTGTACTTTTTACTGGTGATTTCACTATTTAAAATGGCCCCAAGTGTAGTGCTAGAGTTCTGTGTAGTGATCCTAACTGCAAGAAGCCTTAGGATGTGCCTTAGAGGAAAAGCACGTGTTTTAGATAAGCTTTGTCTGGACGTTAAGTTATAGTGCTGCTGCATGTGAGTTAATGTCTATGAATAAACAATATCTATTACATATGGTATCTTTAAATAGAAACACACAGAAAACAAGGTTATACATTGGTCAGCCTATGAAAATGTTGTGACCAGAAGTTCACAGGAACTTAACTCTGTACTTCTTCGAGGAGCAATGGTTCAGTATTTGCTGAGCCAATGTTCATGCCCACTATACAGAATATAATTACTGCAAGTAACGAGAATTGTCTGTGGATACACATGTGTAAAATGTACAACTTAAAAAACCACTTGAAGCCAGATTCACTCTTAGATCCCACCAAAACTTGACAAGGATGAAGGAGGCCCCGGCTCTGAAATTACTCCCATAGCTTTAGTTCAGATGATTGCCACATATGGTTAAGAAGGCTAAAGGTTAGGGCTTGACCTTGGTCCATGTCTTTCAGGAGCTCTCATAAGAACATGGGCCACCTGTCTAATGACCACACTGTGTGCACTTGTCTGACTGTCCTCATTTCAAATATGCTGCCCTTTGATCAAAGACATTTTTAGAATTTGGGTTTGGAAAGCATGTGCACTATGGCTGCCAGCCACATGGTGGAACCAGTGAGCAAACGTGGGATAGTGCAGAGTCATGCAGGTTCAAATCAAGGTGGGGCGGAGGGGGCTGTGTTTATCAAACCAACATATACATTTACTAGAAGAGTATGTATGGAAAGAGTCCAGGAGGATATATAAACCCAAATATTAATCACAATTTGTTCTGGTTGGTAGAATTTTACATGACTGATTTCCCTCCTTTGTATATTTGTATTTTTTCTGAGGTTTGTGCATTGACTATATTTCCATATTTAAAAAAAAAGAAGAAAAATGTAACGTCAGTAAAAATGTAATTGGTGGGATTATAAGAGATATCATGGCCTTCTCTGTCCCTAACTGCATTTTCTGATGTGTCACAATGATTATTTATTATTGTGTATTTTTAAAATACTCAGATAGTGCTCTGAGCATGAGTGTTCAGAACTGATTCTTTTGCCGTCCAGGGTGGAAATGGCTGGGATCATGTGCAGATGAACCATTACTGGGCCACTGTAATCTGCTGGGCAGGATGCATCTTCCATGCATCCTACTGTTTAATCCTCTCAATGAACCTTTCCAGATACTATTACCCCCATTTTACAGATGAGGAAACTGAGGCACAGAGATTGTGAATAACTTCTGAAGGTCAGTGGCTGAACCAGAATTAAATCCAGTTCTGTCTGGCTCTAAAATCCATGCTCTCGGCCCCTCGGCCCTCCTGCCTCCGATGTGTATTGCCTCACTCCTGCTCTCCATCATCCCTGGGATCATTTCCTTCCTGGCTGGTCATTGCCCCTTTGTACCCTGAGCCCCCACAGGCCTCCATCCCAGCAGCCAGAGTGAGCTTACCTCACTGTTGCTGTAGCGAGCGAGTTCGGAGATGAAGCGGATGTGGTCGTCCCGGATCTGAACCATCTGCTCGCAGATGTTGTACTGGGGGCTGATGCTGCTCTGGGTACATGTCCACCTGGGCAGAAAATCACAGGGTTGGAGCAGGTTCTGGCCTGACGTGCCTCAGCGGGATAGGCTCCTTCCACTCACTAGTTGCTCCTGGTGCTCAGCCAAACATGGCCAGCTCCCCTAGGTGGACCCAACAAGTGACCCAGTCACCAGCAAGAAAGCCTGCCACAGGCTGAGTGGCATAATCTTCCTCCTCTAAGATCCAATCACAGGCTTTTCCAGGTAACTTGTGTCCACAGTACTTACCAGTTATATGAGTGAGGAGCCTCTCTAGGGCTACAAAGAGCTGGAAACCGAGCGAAGAAAAGGCAAGGTGGGCAACCTCCCCAAATCTGCCTATTGACTGTCAGCACTGACATCCTGAGGGTGAAAGCTGGCTTTGGTGGGGCCATTAGGGTGGGACTGGGGAAACTCACAGGGATCCTGCCTCTTTTTCAACAGTGATCAGGCAACATTAAGGACTCCATGGCGATGGATAACGTGTGTTCTGAGAGGTACTGCTGGCACGTTCTCCCTCCCACCCTCCCTCTCTCCCCACCCCCTGTTGTTCCCCTTGCCCTTCTCCTTTCTCCTTAACTCTTTCGAAAGATATCACTGGGAAAAGCATCCTAAAATGGAAAGGAAATCAATGAATGAAAGTCTTCACTCTCCTTCCCCAAGAGAAAAAAGACAGCCCCCTTCACCCTCATTCTGTCATCTGGTGCTGGGTGACCCAGGAGACAGACTAAGCATGGGCACCAAACAAGGCGGATAAACATTTTGGGAAAAATTTAATATCTCGGGGCGCCTGGGTTGCTCAGTTGTTAAGCGTCTGCCTTCAGCTCAGGTCATGATCCTAGGGTCCTGGGATCGAGCCCCACACTGGGCTCCCTGCTCGGCGGGAAGCCTGCTTCTCCCTCTCCCACTCCCCCTGCTTGTGTTCCCTCTCTCGCTGTGTCTCTGTCAAATAAATAAATAAAATCTTAAAAAAACATTTAATATCTCAAAAGGATCTCCTTGAAGTGGTTCTCATTAGAATACTTGGACTAGTGATAGACGTCCTCATGCTTATACTTCGGCATGACTTTTATTTTGGCTTACTTGTACAGGAATGGGGACACTATCACTCAAACCTCTGACACGCTGCTGTGGCCACATCATCACTCCCACCCAGCTTCAGGTGGTCAAGAATGCACACAGGAAAGGAGTTCAGCCTTCTCAGTTCCATGCTCTTCCTAAAAAACCTCCTCACATACGAGCAGCCAGCAGGTTATGAAAAGACTAAACCAGCTTCCTTGGTGAGACTCCCTTGCAGGGGCTCAAGGCTGGTGGGGTTCAAGGACACTCCGTTTACCTATTTTTTAGGCGCTAACCCTCACTTCTGACTAAAGGACAGTCAGCCCCTCTCTGTAGGGAAAGGTCATATTCATTCAGCTTTGGGAAAGATGCAGACAGAAGGAACCTTACTAACAACCCCAGAAATCAACAGAGTGGCTGGCCCAGGCTGGAGCTGGGTGTCACCCACCTGCCATGGAGTCACTGACATCCCAGGTCCTAGCACAGATTACCTGGAACGGTGGCTTATAAAACAGTCTAAGGCGAGGCTATCGACTCACTTCACAGGTGGAACCATCCAAACCATATACTCAAACACATACTTACTGCATGGACACAAATCTGAGGAGAGAATCGAGATGCTGAAGAATGCCTTCTTGCTCCACCCGACCACTGAGGGCCAGCCAGTCCTCCCCCTTCTTGAGGGAAGGAGGGCTCCTGCTGTCCCGCTGGGCAGCACAGGTCAGCGCCAGGACAGAGAAGGGGCGTGGCTGTGCTCTGAGCACTTTTGAACCCTGGCGGCAAAGGGCAGATACAAAAGGGCTCAGAGCACCCTCCGCTGTTCCCTTCTGGCCGGCTGGGTGCCAGTGTTGTGATGGAATCCACCTGCCCAGGGCTCTGGGGAGGGAGGAGGGGCTGAAGTGGCCCCTCGGCCCCCTGCCCGGGCTGGGCGTCCTCGCGGGAGCCGAGAGACATTATGGCAGGCACTCACTTGGACTTGTTCTCTTCATAGTGAGCACTGGTCTTAATGTATCTGGCCAGCTCTATCTGCATGTCGCCGAAAAGGGGCACCACTTGCAGCTGCTGCAAAGGAAGCAAACACAAGGCGTGAGATGCTGAGGGAGGAGCCGGGAGGCTGCCTTCCACTGGGGAAAGCAGGCCTTTGTGTACCTCTGGGCCAACCCCTAGGTTCTGCTTCTGATCATGCTACTGGGTCACCTTGCAACCAAAGAGAGTCCCAGACAGTATACAGGTCCTCCCGTGCCACCAGCCAACCCATGTTCCAGCAACTGAGCCCAGAGGGGGCAAAGTGATTTGTCCAAGGTAACACAGCAGGCAGAATGGATGAAGGATGAGGGCCAGACAGCCTGCCTCCCAGGGCAGGTTCTTTCTGCTCTGACTTCCCTGGGATTTGTGGATCCTTGCAGCTGTGAACTCTGGACTAGGAGTGGATATGTGGATGCCACTGTCTGGGTGTGGCCTTCCAGAGAAACTCTACAACGTGAAGCAATTGAAACCCTAACACCAAACACTAAAGGGCAGACGAATCCCAAGTGAAGACCAGGGCAAACGGAGAGGAGGCTGGAGCGGACTGCTGGCTTCTAGGCAGTAGGCACCATGTCAGGCACTTCAAAACCAGAAGATTCTTAGGACAGTGGTGGATACGTGTCATTCTGCTTTCGTCGGAACACACAGAATGTACAACGCCAAGAGTGATCCCTAATGTAAGCTATGGACTTTGGGTGATAATGATGTGTCGGTGGAGGTCTGCTGATTGTAGAGAACACATCCCTTTGGTGGGAGATTTTGATAATGGGGGAGGCTGTGCATGGTGGGGGAGGGCAGGGGATAAATGGGAAAACTGCCCTTTCTGCTCAATTTTTTTTTCTTTTTTCTGCTCAATTTTGCTGTGAACTTTAACTGCACTAAAAAATAGTCTATTAAACAAAAAACAGTATCTCAATCCATATAAATACTTCGTGAGGTCAGTTACTATTATCATCCCCATTTCACAGATGAAAAAACTGAGGTTCAGATAGCACAAGTGATTTTCACACAAAGTCAAGTCAGCTGGAAATCAAGGAGCCGGGACTACAATCCAGGGCTCTGACTCACATATGTCCTTCCTGCTGGATCCTCAAAGGAGCCCTAGCAAGTAGATAACCTTAGCGTTAGCATTTTTCAGGCTGGGGAACTCCGTTTCAGAAAGGTTTAGTGATCTTCCCCGGAGTTATCCAGCTATCAAGTGGCAGAGCCAGACTAACACTCAGGACCGACTATGGCAAAGTTGCATTTCTCAACTGCATCCCAATCTCATTCATGCTGACCGAGGGCAGAGGCAGATTTTGCAAGGTCTCCTGAGATGAGCCCTGTTTTCATTTGGGGCAGCTCCAGAGCAGAGTGAAAGTTCTGGCCCTGAAAAGATGCAAAGCCACAGGATGTCTTTTGGTGATTTATTTCCCCCTTAACCTGGAAAAGTCAGTGGGATCTAGGCCCAGCCCAGTGTCCCCCGTGCCACACTTTTGAGGGGTTCCACTTTTAATGTTAAGCCTGGTGTTTCCATGTCTGACCTCTGAGGCTCCACTCCATGCCTGGAGTGCCCAATGCTAGTATAAACCGACACCATGGAATTCAATTCCAAAGCAGGAAATCCCTTCATGAAAACCTCAAAGGCTTCATTTAACCCCAAGGTTTTATTTTTAAAAATTTGGGGCCAGAAGATCAAATGTCTGAGGCACTGCAAAGGTCTGGGTATATAATGGACTGTGATGAGGCCTTGTGCCCAGAGGCAGGGGTGAGCCGAGTGAGCCCCCGGTGGACCAGGAGAGGCTGTGACTTTCAATTTAAAATCCAGTCTTTAATCCTCCTGCTTCTGTGAGCTCTGATTTATATGGAAAATTAAAGCAGGTGCTGTTTTCTGGGATGCATCTCTTTCTTTAGACAGCGAGGGATTTCAGGAAAGAGAAAAGGCAATATGCAGAAAAAACTGTAAGGCCTCTCACAGCCGAATCCGGAGACTCGAGAGCATGTTTGACTTTAATGCGACAGCCTTCGATAGTGTAGCGCCTTCTACAGAGGGCGGCTGGAGGCCCTGTCATTCTATCTGCCCCCTCCTCTTGGGGTCTTTAGAGCTGCCGTTCCATCAACAAGCTGATTTCTTCCCTTTCCCCAGAGAGAGCACTCTGCGGCCCAGCCCCACCCTCAGGTACTGACCTTAAAAAACTTATCAATTTTGCTGAGGTTGATTCTCTTCTTGGCATCCAGTTTGTAAATGTTACTGACGTTTCCATCCATCAGGTAGAGACCAAAACCCATTACCTAGAGTGAGAAGGGTCAGAGCACAGAAGCCTATCATGACCATTGGAAAAGCTTTAAAAACAAAACAAAACAAAACAAAATTTAAAAAGGAGGTCTGTGCACACACACATGCACATCCTGTAGGAATACCTTCTCTTTCAAAACCCACGTGTCTTCAATTGAAGAAAGGAGACATAAATCTAATTTCAACTAAAAATCTGATTTCTCTGTAGAATTCAGACCACCCTGTAGTAGGTTATTATGGTGGCCGCTTGCTGAGTCCTTACTGTGGGCTGGAGTCTGTGCGTAGGGCATTCCCAGGTATTTTCTTCAATTCTCACAATAATCTCATGAGTCAAGTTTACACAATGATCTTACTGCACAGACAAGGAATTAGACGCCCAGAGAGGTTAGCCAGCCTGCTAAGGTCACACAGCTAATAGGTTGCAGAGACAGGGTCTGAAGGCAGATCTGACCACAACATCTACACATTTAGATGCTTCCTGCGAGAAAGGGCTGAGCGCTGCTTGTTGCTGCATCCCTGGGGTCTAGCACATCACAGGGACTTGGGAACACCAGCTCGGTGTTGAATGAACACGAAACTATTCACTTCTTTCCCCAAGGAAGCTAAAACAACGCACAGATTCCCAAGGAGCCACTGGTGACTTCATTCAGAACACATTTTTGCCTGACAATGCCCTATAAGCAGGTCACCAGGCCGACTCTTGATATGCTGGTCCATTTAATAGCTTCTCGAATGCTGACATGTTTTCCTCCTTTTGTCAAATGCACAGCAAGGCTGACGGGGGCCTGAACAACGAGGCTGAAAGCAGCTTCCCTTGGCTCACAGTTGCTGTGACTGTGGAGAAGTCACACCTGACACATAAGGGCCTGGACTAGAGGACCATGAAGGTCACATCCCCCTTAGTCCCATTCTGTCCCCGTGCTCTGCAGGGTGTGTGCCAGACTCTCCCACCTTAGGTGAGAGGCATCTGGTTTCACAGACACAAACCTGCAGAATGGGGGGAGAGCCAGCGTTGAGACCCGGAGCCCGGGCTGGAAGAGGGGGAGAGCTCAGGGCTGGGAAGCAGAGGTGCAGAGGGCTCAAAAGCCAGTGAGGGAAAACCTGCTGGCAGCGTCTCGGAGTGCTTGCTGTGGGTGAGGGTGGCACGGAGGAGAGGAGGAAAAATAAAACTACCAGGAGAACATCAAAAGGGGAGGCTTTGGAGAAGAAAGACTCAAAAGGGGCTATGCAGCGTGTCAGAAGAACACGCAGAAGGCTGCTCATCTCAGTGCTACCGCTGTCAAGAGAAATCAGGAACAACCCAAGCAGCCAGAGGCAGAGGAATGGCCAAAGAAATGCAAGGGCATCCGTACTGCATTACTTAGCAGCTGCATAACATCCGTGCTACATTTAATGAACTGGGATAAAAATTACACACACACATAATTTATGCATATTGCGTATGCTGAAAGCGCGTAAGCGTAGAAAAATTACAAGGAAATACATCAAAATGCTAGAAGTGTTACCCCTGGAGGGAAAGATGGTGAGAGAGAAAAACTGTTTGTGTATTCCCGATTTTCTACAATAAATATTACTTGATAATTTAGAAATGGAACTTGCAAATGGCTGGAACAAATGTGACTATTTTGGCAAAATACAGCAAAAGCTTGAAGATCTTGCTTTCCCTTTGAGTCAGCAATTTCTCCCCTAGGACGTTTGACTTGGCAAGAGCGTGGACACAGAAGTTGTGCTGTAGTAAGAATGCCCAGTGCAGTTTAGCAAACCAATATCCAATGACAGAGGATTTGTTTAATAACAAGGTCCACGTGCAGCGAGCTCCTCAGCGGCCATTAAAAACTACATTGCAGAAATACCCCAAACAGCATCTGGAAAGGTGTCGCTGACGTATTAAAGGGAAACAAAAGAGGATCACAAAGAATTATGTCCAGTGAGATCTGTATCAGTGTTTAAAGAAGAAAAAGTAAGCGTTTTTCCTTTTTTAAAATGATTTTCAATAAGAAGGAGGTGGAGGGCAAGCCCAGGCGCTGGGGCGTGCGACTGCAGGTGTACCTTGAGCAGCATGTGCTTCTCGCTGGGGGTCAGATACATCTTGTTCTCGTAGTAGTCCACGCAGATGTTGACAATGTCTGACAGCAGCTCCTCATAGCCTGGGATCACCTCCAGTTGCTGGTGGAGACACTGAAGAGCAGCGCCCCACCCCCCCGTTAGCCCTTCTCCTGCCCCACCCCCACGCCCACCCCAGAAGGCCCACAGCTGGTTGGCAGTGACAGGGCACAGCCCCCCGGCCATCCCAGGTGGACGGAGACTGCATCTCCTCCTCAAAGTCCCCATGGTGTTTGGTCGGAGCTCCTGTGCACCCCCCACGGCAGGGAAACCACCCCCCGTGCCCCGCCTTGGAGCCCTCCCTTTTATTTCCCAGCAATTCTGATAGTTAGAAAGTGCTTTCTTGGGCTGAGCTGAAAAGCAGTTCAGCTTTACAGCAACAGGCCTGTCGCAATCTAGGTTTGGTTTTGAGGGCATAGCCTTAGCCATGACATCTCAGATGATGACAGAAAGACCCAGCCCGGGAGAGGAGAGAGGGACCAGCAGGTGTGCCCCTGCTGCAGGACACGGTGGTACAGGAGCATTTCCCATCGGAGAAGAGTCTGAGGTCTCCACCTCAGGCCCTTTCTTTCCAAAGGGACAACCTGGGCCCCTGTGGGGGATGCCGTGGGAGGCACGGCTAGTGCTCTCTACAGACAACCTGGGGCTGAGACGTGGGGCTGAGTCTCAGGAAAGAAACATGTCAACACTGACAGCCTTGTGCAGTTAACCAAGAGCAGGAAGGGCCCAGTGAAGCCAGCAGCATCCCCGAGAGAGGTCTGGGCCTGGAAACGTTTCCAAGATGGAGGGCCCCTCTCAGCCAGGGCCCTGCTCACATTCTTGCTGGTGCGTGCTTAGGCTGACCTGACAGGTGAGCAAGATGGATTCCATGAAGTCAGAGCACGAGAGCCATAGCTGATGGGCGTGCCCGGCAAAGCGGTGGCAGTAACCATAGCTACGGCAGCTCATGCTCTTACCATTCGTCAGGCTCTGCTCACTAAGGGCTTTTGAAATCGTGTCTCATTTCTCACAACAGTCCTAGGAGACGGATGCTCATATTCTCAAAACAACAGCTCCACTTCGCAGATGAGGAAACTGAGGCTTAGACCTTGCTCAAGGTTTCACAAGGGGTCAGTGGAGGGTCCAGGATTAGAAAACAAAGCCGTCAAACTCCAGAACCCAGGCTCTCAGTCCTCGCTGACATGGGGGCAGCGTGTGGGCTGAGAAGGCTTTCAGGGAACAAAATCTGCGGAGGGTAAAAGGGTCACCTGTGGTTGGGAGGGGAGATTTAAGTCTGCTAATTCAGGAGTAGGAAAGTGGGGGATGTTCATCTGGACTGAGCTCCCCTGCTCGTGGCCCCTTGATCGTCAGGCCCCTGCCTGTGGCATTAGGACCCCAGGCCAAGATGAACAAGGAATCTGCCATCACCTGGGTGATCCTGTTGTGGTTGGCCAGGAACATGGAAAGGTTCTGTGACTCCTGGATAGACTGGGGGTCCGCCATCTTCCTCAGGAACTGTGCCGCCCTGCACACGGGGTCGCAGAGAGGACTGCTCAAGCACAGCCCGCCCACGCCGGGCCTCACGGATCCCACGTCCACCTAACCCACTGCCCCACTGCCCCCCGAGGCTAAGGTGCGCTGAATAGCACAGCTGACTCCACTGTCTAAGGAGAGTGGATTCTGCAGTCATTTCGTTGGGGGCCAGGCACACTCCAAAATAATAGCCCCTACAATTAAGAGGCAAGAATACACTGAAGGCCAAACCCAGCAAGTTTAAGGGCATGTGGCATCCTATCAACCAGCCAGAGGTGGCAAGCCAGAGTGAAAGAAGCATCCTCGCGCCGGGCTGTGACCTGCTGTGGGACCGCACAGAGGAAATGGGGAGCAGAATTGCAGGCAGGGCAAGCGCTGGTTTTGCGTGGACTATGTTATTTACAGGACACCTCCGAGTTTCTAAAGCAAAGCCCTGCACGGAAACACAAGCCTATTCCAGCTAACAGGACTGCCGGGGAAGGGATGATGGGCTCGAAGGGGGAACACCACGGCGCCTGAGCTGTTCCAGCCTCACCCGGTGGCGGTGCGGCCTGTGTCAGGGCCGACTGTGGGCGCACAGACAAGACACCCGCCTTGCTCATGTGGCTTGTGAGCGGGTCACTTGTGACCCAATGCAAGGAGTGGCCAAAACTGGGGAGAAACCGGGGGAGGGGCGGGGGGAGATGTGGGAGATACTATGCCATGAGTTGTCTCCGAAATCTTTGTGCGAGCTGCCGTTTCTGAACCAGGCCTGGAGATGGGGCTCTGCCTGTGGGCACATACCCCCAGGTTACGTGGTCCACTCAGGAGGATACAAGGGTGGGAATCGGTCTGCTCCCTGCTTTCTCCAGTTCCCTTGGAGCCCCAGGAGGATGCGATTCAAGGAGGAGGGGCCCTCTTCACCAGTGACACAGAAAAGCCTTCCCAAGAAATGTCCCCAAACACTGCAGCGCTCATCTGAGCCTCAGCAACCTACAGGAAAGATACCTGTCGCTTTCAAATGTCCTCTGCCACCTGCTGGGTGGCTGTATCCTAAACGTCGGGAGAGTGACAATTCCTGACCCACTCTCAGTCTCTCTTTCATCTGACACTGACCCCCAACTGACTCTGGCAAGCACCTGCCCAACTGGAGGCCCCACGCACAGCAGGAACCGAGGGAGGGGTCCACCTGCTACCCCCAAGCCGGAGCGATGACAATCCCCCATGGGACTTCTGCAAAAGTATGTGAAAGAAGCACCCTTTCTTTCCTCTGAAGCTGGGGGCTGCTACGCTGGTCAGAGGGAAGCTTACAGCTGCTGGTGACCACCACAGGGCACAGACCTGCCTGAGAATGAAGCTGCTATCCAGGAAAGCTGAGCCGAGAGGTAGAGGGTACCAGACCAACATCATCTGAGTATCTGGATCCAGATACAATGAAACTGTTCAGTTCTGGGAGCCAATCTAGTTCCTTCTTTTATATAAACAGTTTGAATTGGCTTTCTGAAACTTGCAGGAAATGACTGATGTGACCATCTTATGATTATTTTCCTGGTCCCAAACTGCATGGGAAACCACTACAGGTAGGGGAAAATGAGGCTCCGACCCCGTCTTAAGACAGGACACCTACAAAGGCCCAGTTTTCCAAAGACTCAGCTCTGCATCTTTTTCCTCAAACTGCAAAGACAGATACAGGCCCACCCCTGCGGGGCTGGGGAATGGTTAGTTTGGTTCTGGAGAATGAGCCCAGGAGAAGGGCTCTAGCCTCTGCCTCCCCTAGGCCAGCTCTGCAGGAAGAGGGGGGTCGGGGAGGGTGCCCTGACCTCTTATAGGCAGAGTGGTCGTTCTTGACGCTGCACTTCATATTCTTCAGCTCATCCAAGACAGCGAACATGTTGATGAACTTGCCCAGGGTCAGAAGGTAGGCCTCGGAGACGAAGTCCTTCCTCCGCTCAGCATGGCAGAGCCGCTTCACCTCACTGCAGAACCGCTCGATGGCCTTGCGCTGCAGGTGGAGGGGCGGCAAGTAAGGACAGGCAGCCCCGAAGGTGGCTCGCTGTGCTCTGCGTGGAGAGCAGGATCAAGACTCCCTCCCCTGGGGCTCTGGTCAGAGCGTGGGCATGTAGAGAAAGTCAGATCTGCCAGGAGGTCTTTCTTAGAGGGGTCCCTAAATCCAGAGCTCATTTCAAGAGGGGGGCCCAGAACCTGCAGCCGAGTGAGTCAAACCAATGAATTTATTCACCATGCCTTTGCTGAGAAGCATTATGTCTCACTCATTTTTTGTATCCCAGCATCTAGGACAGTGTCAGGGCAAGAGTAGGGTAGGGACCAACAGTGAGAGAGACGTTCAGAGAGAGAGGCTCATGCATCCAGTAAATCGTATTTATTGAGCATCTACTACATGCCAGGAACCATTCTAGGTACTGGAGGAGAGTAGAGAACAAAACAGAAAAAAAAAAAATTTCTGCCCTAAGGCGCTTATACGTGAGGAAAGGCAGAAAACAAAACAACTACTCTATATTAGAATGTGATAAGCATCATGGAGAAAAACAAAGCAGGCAAGGGGGATAGGGAGGGCAGGGGGAGCTGTCCACTTTAGTAGGAAGATCAGAGAAGAAATCATCCAGAGGTGACTTTTAGGAAAAGAGTCTGAAAGAAGAGAAGAAGAAAGACAGGGATAACTGAGGGAAGTGCATTCTGGACACCGTGAGCAGCCAGTGCAAAGGCCCTGAGGCAGGAGTGTCCCTGACATGTTTAAAAGATGAACAAGAAGCTGGTGGTTGAAGTGAAGTGAGCAGAAGGAAGAAACTGGAGGCAGAGAGGGACCAGGGCCACTGGCTGTCGCAGGCCTTTGTGAGGGCTCAGGTTTCTACACTGAGTGAGTCAAAGGTAACATGGTCTGAACTGCATTTTAAAAGGGTCACAGTAGCTGTTATGGTGAGAATCGACTATAGGGGGCAAAAATAGAAGCAGGGAGAAGAGTTAAGAGAAATGAAAATATATCTCCCACAAAATGAATACATGTATTCACAGCAGCCTTGTTCATAACAGTTCCAAAGTGGATATAACTTAATGTCCATTAACTAATAAATATGTAAACAAAATGTGGTAGATCTATACAGTAGATTAGTATTTGGTCATATATTTTGGTACATGCTACCACATGGATGGATCTTGAAAACAATATGTTAAGTGAAAGAAGTCTGTCACCAATGATCACGTATTATGTGATTTCATTTAAATGCAATGTCCAGAAGAGGCGAATCCATAGAGACGTAAGACGGATTTGTGGTTACCTAGAGCTGGAGCGGGGAACGTAGAGGGTATGATGGGGTGGTAGCTAAAGGGTATGGGATTTCTCTTGGGGGGTGAGAATGTTCTAGGACTGATGATGGTGATGGATGCACAACTCTGGGAATATAACTAATAAAAACTGTTGAATTGTCCAATTTAAATGGCTAAATTGTATGGTATGTGAATTATATTCAAAAAATACGTTACCAAAAAAAGCAGCTGACCAAGAACAAAAATAGGCTAAAGCAACAATTTGGAGAGACACAGAGAGAGGAGGAGGTTGAGGAAGAAGAAGAGGAGGGGGAGGGGAAGGAGAGGAATCACTCTTGTATGTGAACTTCACTCCACGGACATGGGATACCCCACCCCAGTGAATCAGTCCCCTCCTTCAAAGCCCAGACAAGCCCTACTTTCTTCTTCCAGAGTCCAAGAACAATGCAACTTCTTGCAACGATAGAAATGTTCCATGACCGCACTGTCCAATATGGCAGCCACTCATCACAAGTGGCTACTGAGCACTTTTCATTTCATGGCTAGTGCGCTGGGGGACCTGAATTTTAAGTGTTATTCAGTTTTCACGTAGATAGTCCCATATGGCTAATGGCTACTGTGTTGAACAGCATAGTTTTAGATTACTCCAGATCCTCCCTTCACTAAATACTTTGTCGGAAGGCCCTTCGTTTAGCACTCCATCAGCCTCTGGATAGTACTCCTCTCTTGGACCTGCCTTCCCAAAGAAACCAGGCTCCTGAGGGCAGGGCCGTGATGCTAGTCACAGCGGCTGCCATTTGTCACACCTACTCTGTGACCAGGGCTCCACTTGGCTCTTCACAAACAGACCTCCCTCATCCTCACCACACACCTGAGATGAGGCATGATTTCCAAGGTGAGAACTGAAGGTGTCAGATGTTACAGAACTCACAGGCACACAGGGACAGTGTGCAGAACCTTGAGTTTCTCTGCCTCGGAAGCCAGCCCTCCTGCCCTGGGCTGCACGCATTTGCACCTTTCCCAGACAGTCCCATCTCCCACCCCCAGGCCTGGGCAGAGCTGGGTGCGGGGGGGACATCCGGCCAGTAGCTTGCAAGGCTATTTATGACGCTTAGTGCTTCAGTGGAAGCTGTGAGGGCACAGAGCATGTGCCATGACCCCGCCCCGGGGTACAGACTGGCCTCCAAGTCTTCAATCTGCATTCCCGCACAGCGTCCGACATGATCAGCATAACCAACCGACTGGCATTACTCTCCCTTTGCCACTTCTGTTTAACCAGCTTGTCCTCTTGCCTTCCATTCATGGAGGCCCCACGGCGCTCTTTTCTCTTTTCCTTCTGAAATGACTCCTCTTTCTGGCTTCCCAGCTGGCCTCCCTGCTGTCGCTCTTCTCCCCTCCCACCTTCCGCATCTGTAACTGTCCCCCACCTCCCATCTATTTCCCACACAGCAGCCAGAACGGTGCTGCAAAACCTCAAGCCAGAACTCGTCACGAGGAACCTCCAGCGGCTTCTATGGTGCTCGAGTAAAATCCACATACTCTTTTCACATCCTACCTCCTGGCCTACAGTGCCCTGAAGATCAGGTCCTATCTACCTCCCCCAGGTCACCTTCCGTCAGCCATCCCTACTCACTGCGGCTCCCCTGGCTGCCTGGTATTTCTTTTTTTTTTTTTTTGCCTGGTATTTCTTAAACACGCTGTGCCCCTTCAGGCCTTTGCAGTTCCTTCCACCTGAAACCTTCTTCCTCCAATCCTCACACGCCAGAGGACTGTTACATACAGATTTCAGTGCAAAGACCATCCCTAAAGCCGCACCAGGTCACAGACACCTTCCACCCCAGAGTTACGATTTTTAAATTTTATCTTACTCACAGCACTTACTACACCCTGAAAAGGAGTGAGTATTGTTTACCGTCAGTCTCTCCTCCTACCTGAAACACACTCGTGTGCTCACTAGGATGTAAATCACATGGGAGAGGGAGGCTTGTCTGTCTTGCTCACCAAGGGGCGTGTCAGTGGCCCACAAGAAGTATTTGCTCAATGGACAAACAACTTGGGTCAAAAATCCAGACCCCAGTAGCTGGCAGAGTGGGGCCTCTCGAGTCTCCTGATTCAGACCCACCCTTACCCCTCACCTGAAAGTACATGAACTTCATGAGCTTGGTGACCTCTGGCTCTAGCACCTCCACTGTCTTCTCATAGATCTCGACCCGGTTGGGCTGCTCATTGCATTTCACCTGTGGGGAGAGGGGAGGTTACACATCCTACTTTGCCAAGGCAGTTCTGGTTCACATTTGTCGTCTTACTGATAGAGTCCTTTTGCAGTGCCCTGACCACGAGCTCTGTACACATCTACCTTGATCTGCAAGGTCTCCCTCCTTCAGCCTTTCCCCTACTCCTACCCCAGGGGGACCCCACCAGCATCTAAGCAGAGAAAAATATTCTAGCCATCGTTCCACATGCACATGGCATGAGGTCCCCCCGGCCATACTCGGCCCCATCAAAAAACCCATTTTCTCTGAAACCCAGTGGTTTTCAACACATCAGAATCACATGGCAGATGTTTTCATAGCCTGCACACCCCAGACTGCTAACTGGTCAAGTGAAACTGAACAGTGAGCGAAGGATAAGCATGAGGACATTCTTCACACTGTTGCTTAGAAATTCTTAAAATGGTAGCAATAAGGTAAATACCCACCAGTCGATGATTAAATGGATAAAATATGATGTATTCATATGATATCATCATAAAGGCGCTAGAAGGAATGAGACAGATCTCTGTGAAGTGACATGGAGAGACTGCTACCATAAACTGCCAGGTGAAAAAACCTGCTGAACACGAAGGGCAATTGAATCCCATTTTTGTTAAACAAAACACAAGACAAACAGTGTGTGTATGTGTGTGTCTATATATAATAGGGGCATAGAAAATCTGAAAGAGTTCAAAGCAAACTGTTAATAAGTAGTTACCTGTGGGGGCTAAGGTGAGGGGGAAGAGAGAAGAATAGTTTCTGTTTGCTTTGCACACCTGTGGTCTGTTAATTTTGTTATAATGGGATACAAATATGATGCTGATAATTACGGTAAATATATTTGCATGAGTCAACACAAAAAAGTTACTAAAAAGGAATTAAGTGGGAAAAAGCAAGTGGCAGAACAATATACATATAAATATATACAATATACATTTATAAATACAAATAAATGATAACTTATAAATAATATTCGTAGCAATATTCATGATGTTCAAGCAAAAAGATCCAAAGGAATATGCAGCAAAGTATCCATAGTGATTAGGCTTTGGTGGGAGGTGCGTTTGGGTGGTGGGGGCGAGGAGGTGGGGATGTCTTGCTTTTTACTTTATACCTTTGGGCAATGGTTTGGGTGTCGTACAGGTAGTACATATCGCTTTTGAAATAAATTGAACAAATATTTTTGAAGTTGTCACCAGTGTAACGGGAAGCTCTCCAAATGCCTCGAGCAAGCACCCTTGACTACCAGGCCCTGCCTAACTCCCTGCACCCGGAAAAGCTCAGCTCTCTGGCTGAGGCTGAAGTGGAGGAGAGCCACCCAGCAAGGCCAGTCTCACCTGCGGGATGGCTCGGGAGCAGCTGCGCCAGGTGTACAGCATGACCGCATACTCATGCCCTTCCTCCAGCATTTCATTCTGAAAAGCAAAACACACACTCAGCAGGGAGAAATTATGCTGGTGCTGGAAGACTCTTTCACGGCCCCCAAGAGCTTCATGCATCAAAGTGAGCAGCATCAGTGCGACCTGGGAAGCTGACAAGACGTGCAGACTCTCGGGGCCCCTCCCTGGGCCTATGGAATCAGAATCTGCACTTCAATGCAACTCCCAGGTACACAATTAATGTTTGAGAAGCCCCGGCTTCAAGGAGCCCCCACAGACAACCCGAGGGCGCTACCGGCGGGCCACATTTTTCAAAGATGCGCAGGCACCTTAGAAAAAAAGAAGGCAGATCTATTTGTTCCCAGAGCAAAAGCTGTCTCAGGTATACCGTGAGCAAGAAAATAAGCAAGTAGCGAAACAGAATGTACAGCAAGTAGGTTAAAAAAACAAAGAGTAATAATTATGAAAGTATACTGTTATATACTGAAAAATATTTTGGTGCAATATGCATCAAGCTATGACAAGGAGCAAGCTCACTATGGGGCTGGATGAACAGGGCTTTCACTTTTCATATTATAGAGTACGATGTTTGCCCTTTCATAAGAGCCCATGCTACTATTTCAGGAGCAAGAAAATGATTAAGCTCAATTTTTAAAAATAATATACAGCAGATGGCAAAACCAATAACAGCATGGGAAATGAATCCGAAAAACACAGGGATGACTCGCCTCACCTCGCCAAGTGCTAAGAGCCCTAAACTCAGGCTCTAAATATCTGGGTTCAAGTCCCAGCTTCATCACTTCTTAGTCCTTTGATCTTCAAGAAATCACTTAACCTAAAATTCTCCATTTAGTATCTGTTTAATGATAATGACAAGGACAACCTCCGAGAACTTCATGAAAATTAAATCTCACACACACACACACACACACACACTGTCTCTCTCTCTCTCTCTCTCCCTCTCTCTCTGTAGGTGATCCGCAAAGGGAAGTAAGAGTATTACTAGGAAAAAGGTAGTCCGGCAATTTCTCAAAAAGTGAAACACAGAGTTACCCCGTGACCCAGCAATTCCACTCCTAGGTATATACATCCCAGACAAATGAAAACACACGTCCACACAGAAACGTGCGCCCTTGTTCGCAGCAGTGCTGTCCTAACACAGAGAAGAGGAAACAAGCCAAATGGCCATTAACTGATGAATGGATAAATACGATGCGGTGCAGCATCTTTCACAGTAAACGGGAGGGAAGTGTTGATACGTGCCACAACATGGGTCAACTCAGAAAACCTTCTGCCAGTCCCAAAAGGCCACATGCTACATGATTCATTTAGAGGAGATGCTCCGCACAGACAGGTGCACAGAAACAGAAAGCAAATCAGTGTCTGCCAGGGGACAGGGAGAGACAGCAATTGTGAGGGACTGCTAACGGGCTTGGGGCTTCTTTCTGTGGTGATAGAAATAAAATGGCAGTGATGTTGGTATGACATTGTAAATATACTAAAAAAAACACTGAGTTGTACCCTTTAAATGGTGAATTTGATACTGTATGAAGTTTACAAAAAAGCAATAAAAAAATGGTATCACTAGACCATCTCTCTTGCAAATGTCTGCTCTGATATAAAAACAAACCTTTATTAATTTTTTTATTCCATGTATTATATCTATTTCATAATAGCTCCCTTGTGCTAGATCAGATTTAATCTGGAATTTGTTACTTCTTACAGTTTTGTTTTCAATAGCAAATGTCAGTGATGAGTCATACTTTCAATTCTTAATTTGGAGCACTTGTAAAGTCAATAACATGTTGTCCCTGAGACCAGAGACAACTGAGATCAAGCCTGTAGGTCTCCTGCTGCTCCTGGTTCAGAACAGAGGTCCAAAAAGGGAAGTGACAGTAACGTAGGGAACGTGCGTCTACTTGTTAGCACCGCACAGCCCACCAGCAGGGGGAGGATCCTGACTTTGACTCAGTGAATGGTTTACCGAGCGCTTGAGGTCCCAGGCTCCGGGCTGTGTGCCGTGAACAGGATGGCAAACAATAATGGTGTAGACTCTGCCCTATGGATAGTTTGGTGCCCATCTACCAGATCTATTGTATGACTAGAGTACAGAGGTCAGGACGGTGTGGCAGAAAGAGCCCTAAGTGGGGCCTCAGGAGACTTAAGTCCTGGTCCAGTCTCTGCTTGGGCTCACCTTTTACCTTGAAAATGTCACCGTTTTCTCACGTAGAGTTGGCCTCAATCACCGGTTCACTCCCGATGTCCAGGCCATGCCCCACCAGAACTAAATCCTTATTCCCGGGGTTGGGGCCAGGCCCCAGTATATTTTAATGCTCTCAAGGCAATTCCAGTGTGCAGTTCAGGAAAGGGAATGTGGACACAGAAAGAGACACCATATATGTGCATATACGGCGACACCCAGACCCAGGAAGTCTCTGAGAATTTCTGTCTCTGTGCCTTTGCTTCTGCTGGTTCTACCACCTAGTATGCCCTCCCCACTTCATCTCTGACAGATAAAATTCTAACTATGTGGGACAGCAGAGTTGAGTGGAAAGAGATCAGGATTGGGAATCAAAAGCCTGGATTCCAGGTTCCACCCTGTGATTTACTAGTTGTGGGATCATGAGAAACTTGCTTGTTCACTTCTCCAGGTCTCAGTTTTCTCATCTCTAAAATGGACCTAATGATCCCTTTGCAAGTCACAGGGCTGTTATAAGTCTCCAAGGATATCATGTATGAGAATATCTTATACTTTTAAGTCACCTTATATATGGTTAAAATGCATGTGTGTCTGTATACATATAATATACAAGGCCCTATTCAAAAGGTCCTTCTTTCATCGTCAAGCTTTCTGATCCCCTCAAGGACTCTTCAAAAACACAGAGCTCTGAACTTTTACATGTCATTTACCTTTAACTTCCTGCATTTCTATTTGCCCGCACAGAGAAATCTAGAGCACAGGTTTTGTAGTCAGACAGACCTGCATTTGGCAAAGTCACTTGTCAGCGGCGTGATCTTGAGTAATTTACTTAACTCTTCTGAACTCTGGTTTTCCCTGTCTGTAAAATGGGTATTGCAATAAAACCTGTCTCACAGGGTTGAGATGAGAACTAATTCAAACAGTGCATTTAAAATATCTGACAGAGAACTTATGAACAGACCTTTCTCCAAAGAAGACATACAGAAAGCCAACAGACACATAAAAAGATGTTCAACAAAACTAATCATCAGGGAAGTACAGATCAAAACCGTAATGAGATAACACCCCACACCTGTCAGAATGGCTAAAATCAAAAACACAAGAAACATCAAGTGTTGGCAAGGATGTGGAGAAAAAGGAACGCTCTTGCACTGCTGGTGGGAATGCAAACTGGTGCAGCCCCTGTGGAAGACAGTTTGGAAGTTCCCCCAAAATTAAAAATAGAACTACCATATGATCCATATGATACTGCTAGGTATTTATCCAAAGAGTACAAGAACGTTAATTCGAAAGGATATATGTACCTCTGTTTATTGCAGCATTATTTATAATAGCCAAAATATGGAGGCAACCTATGTGTCCATTGATAGATGAATGGATAAAGAAGACATGGTATATATTAATACAATGGAATATTATTCAGCCATAAAAAAGAATGAAATCTTGCCATTCGCAACAACATGGATGGACCTAAAGAGACTAGATAGTAAAATGCTAAGGGAAGTCAGTCAGAGAAAGACAAATACCATATAATTTCACTCCTATGTGGAATTTAAGAAATAAAACAAGCAAACAAAGGGGAAAAAAAGAGACAAACCAAAAAACAGACTCTTAACTAAAGAGAACTGATGGTTACCAGAGAGTAGGTGGGTGGGGGATGGGTGGAATGGGTGAAACAGGTCATGGGGATGAAGAGAATACTTATGACCATTGAGTCATGTACAGAAGTGTTGAATCACTATATTATACGCCTGGAACTAATAGAACACTGTATGCTAATTACACTGGAATTAAAATTTAAAAAATTTTTTTAATAAAATACCTGCACAGAAAGTGTTAAATAAAGGGAAAGCTTGTCTATTTCCCTCTTGCCTCATTGAGAATCAAGGCTGGCCCCTATTTGTCCTTGTACACCCCCTCTCCAACATCTAGCACAGTCTCTGCAGGTACCAGGTACACAATATTTATTGAATGAATGGGGTCAGGGATGGTAAGGCAAGGCTTTAGCATATAAATGATACAGTGAGAAAGGTCCAATGAGCTGCAGACAGAGCCTCTGAATGAGGATTCTGGAAATCTGCAAATTCCAGGGCTACATGAGAATAAAATCAATGAAAGCCCAAGAGGGAAGTGGATGATTCCTCACAGATGGGTCAGGTACAGACCTATTAGACCATCGACCCCACTTGTGAATGATTAACCACCAACTTCCTTGGGTCAATAAGGTATTATTCTACAACCATCATCTCTTCTTTCTGAGAAAACTTTTGCTTTCTCAGAGATAAATTTGATCAACAGGTAAATTCCTACACAGCCAGTAATCTATAGAGTATAAGACAAGGCAGGATCTAATCATATGTTAACCTAGAAGGCTCCAGAAGTTCAGGGATGTAAAGAGTGGGATCAAGTGGGTGACCTACAGGTGAGTAGGATTTGCAAAGCTGGAAGACAGGGGAAGAGCGTGCCCTAGGCACTGGGAGCGGGTGGGGCAGGGCATGAGAAGGGGCTTATGGAGACGGGCCTGACTGAGGCAGGCAGCTCCCGGGAGAGCTGAGCACGTGCCCACCCCCCCCACGCCCCGTGCTGGCAGGATCACACCAACTTACCATGCTGGAATGGACCGTGGCCTGCTCAATGTACCTTGCAATGCCTGTGACAAATGCATTCCTGTCCTCGAAGTTTGTGTCAAAGTTAGCCTGTAGGAATTAGAGGACAGAAACATTTGTTTGTTGGAAAACGAGTCCAAGGTGGCTGGGTGTCCAAAAATGAGTCCAAACCGCTGCCAACAAATGCCACAGGTCTCTGTGGAAACCTATCTCCACATCGTCCTCTGATCTTCCCCCAAGGAAATCCCACTCTGACTCACGCCGGGCAGGCGCCGGCTAGACAGGACCTGCATCTGCTTCCCCAGGTTGCCCGAGCCTTGGAAGTAAATGCTTAAACTAGAGAAACCTAAATAGCTGTTAAAAGTTAAGATGTGCATTGCTTTCATCCGGCAGTTGCAAAAATACTCACCTGAGGCTGCAGATGCTTATGTACAAGGATGATAACTGCAGCATTTTTTGTGACAGAAAAACTGGAAACCATCCAAATGTCCATTAACAGCAAAAGGTTAAATAAATAATAGTATATCCATATGATGGACTTATAAGTACTAGGTGGTGGTTAAAAATAAAACGGTAGCATTGTAGTATTGTCATGGAAAAACACCCTTAATAAATTTTAAGTTAAAAAAGCCAAATCATAGAGCAATATATATAGTATGGTTCCCTTTTGGTTAAAAAAAATATATATCTATCTATATCTATATATAATACATGTTTATATCATACATATGGTAAAAAGATGTGTGTGTGTGTGTGTGTGTAGCCACAGTTACAGGGAAATTACTTGTTATACTTTCCTGTATTGCTTGTAATAAAAAAGATATTTATGTAATTAAAAATTTAACCTGGGTTATTAGAAAACGTGAATAAGCCAAGTTTGTGACTTGAATCTTCAGGAATGTGCTTAATAAAATCTAACTACTGAACGAAATTACAAATATATTATGCATTCATATTTAGTCTCAGTTAGCAGCCCCAGAACCTACAAAAGGTCAAACACAGCTAAAAATTTTGTATTAACTTATTCTTTCCTCGCGTGGCATACTCACCCAGCACGCCCGGATGAGGGGCTATTTGTGAGGCTGACTCTAGCTACACCGATGCCCTTCCCGGCATGCCCTGAGGTCGGGGGGGGGGTGTCATGGTTTTAAGCAATCTGATCATGGTTTATCACAAGCTCAGGCAAAAGCAAACAATGGTGACTGGCTTCCCTGAGCCATTAGCAGCTATGGGGAGCTGAAAGCTCTTTTCACATACATGAAGGAAAAGTAATTACCCAGGCAAGCTCTAGGGGTTTCTAAATTGTAATATTTAATTCATGAGATGAGAGCTGCCAAATCCTTGGTTGGTGCTGCCGCAAGAACAGCAGGGAAGGTATTTGGGGTCAGAGCAGACCAACAAGCCTTCCCTGGGGAGGAGAAACAGCCCTGGTATATGTTTACTAGCTAATCTATTCCTCATACTCAGCTCCACCAGGGCACAAGTGACTCCATCAGCTCAGGGCCCTTCACCTTCTAGAGGCAGACAGCCCCCTTCCCCAGGCCTTCAGGGCAAGCCGTCTTAGGGCATCCGGAGTTCCCGACCGCCCCTGCGCTCTGGGCGGACGGACCTGGTACATGATGGAGGATGGCGGCGGCTCGATGCATGGCTGCTGGTCGGGGAGGGGCAGCTCTTCCAGCAGGTCCACGTTGGACAGGGCATCCTCCAGGGTGACGTGGGTGGTCATGGTTACGGTTGCCGGATTCTGCACCGAGGGGAAAGGATGTCAGGGGCCTCCAAGGGTTTCTCAACCTCCCCCTGTTGAGGCTCCTTCCAGAGAATAAAGACGGTTTACATGCACGAAGACCACTTCCACTCATTCCTTCTTCACAAGGTGCCTGCAACCTGTACCTGATACTGGAGGATCTCTTTACAGTTTACAAAGTACTGGGTTTTGTTTTGTTTTTTTTGATTGTCTATTGTCTGGACGGAGCCTCACCACAATCCTCTGTGATCAACACGGCAGGTGGTATTAGAGCCACAGAACTGATGAAGAAACAAGGCTCAGCGCAGTTATGGGGCACCCAGACAACCACCGTGACAAAGGCCAAGGCGCCTCAAATGGGCCTGATGCCGGACGTGGGCCAGAGCCCACAGCCCCCAACTTTGGTTCTTCATGAGGATACACATCCGTTCTGCTCCTAAATCACTGCACAGCACAAATACCTGTAACGGAAATAGTCGAGATTCTCCACTTGAAACCAGGGCCTACATTTTACAAGCCAAGTAAGCTGGAATTAAAAGAATTCAGACTCCTACACGTTTAACCTTATTTGCAAAAAAATGGAAGCGCCATGATCTTCCTTGGCCTGGAGAGGTTTTGTGAGGCACACCAAACAAATGAGTCCTAAATGGACATTTTTGTGTCTTGGACCCTGGCAAAGCGCAGTGGCTTTGACGAGAGCTTCATCTGGCAGTGAAGCTGAAGGGGATCTGAAGACGTGCTTACCCAAGCTGAGCTAACTACTATTTTAAGGACTCAGCACCCAGCAAAAAAATACTCATTTTTTTCAAAGCCTAAGTGAGATGCTGATAAAAAAAAAAAAGATCACGATTTAGGCCATAGAACAGGTTCTCACGAGTTCCCCCAAACATGACATCCTAGAAGTCACATTCACTACCATGAATACAATTAGAAATCAATAATGCAAATTGCAGCCAAAAAAACACCCATACCTATGAAGATTTGTGAAAACATACTTCTGAAAACATACTTCAAAAACCATACTTCATTGCTGCAGAGAAAATTCAAATAGAAATAAAATATTTAGAACTGAAAGATAGAGAACATAAACATCTTAAACGCATTTAGCAGAAAATAAGAAAGTGAAACTAAATGAACCTAATTTTCACTCAAAAACCTAAAAAAAGAATAGAAATCAACCCAAAGAAATGAGAGTGCAGGGACTGATCATTACAAAAGCAGAAATAAATGAAGCAAAGTACAGGGCCGAGCAAAACAAAGAGAGACTAGGTGAACAAAAGTCTAAAAACTGAATTTCATAAGATTAATAATAATAAGGAGCTGCCCCGTTAGCACGCTTGAAGAAGGAAAAGAGAAAGCCCACTGTGCTGACAGTCAGAGCACCCATCCCCTCCCTTCCCCGATCTCAGGCAAGTGTGAGATGGGCTTGCAGGCTGGAGTTTTGAAGTGTCAGAGAATGTGTCTTGATTGCCTGTCAGGAAATGTGGTGTCCGATACCAGGGCAGAAAAGGGTCCCAGACATGACAGCTGGGTCTAGGGGCTGCAGAGTGTACCCAAAGGCATGCTGCCCCAAACTGGTGTCTCTGTTCGGCCCACGGCTGGGAAGGCAGGCAGGTCAGGGCTGAGCAGCTAACGACAACAAAGGCCATGTCCAAGGAGGGCTTGGGGAGCTCAGAAGTGACTTCCCTCTGTCCTCTGCAGGCACTTGGCCTCATCAGGGTGGTTTTAGGTCCTCTCCATACCTATGATTTTTCCTGTTCTCTCCCCTGAGTTCTAAAGGCAGCATCCAGTTCTATAGCAAAACCATTTGCCAATCAACACACAAAAAATTGTCTCCCTTCTTAAATTAGTATGATGTTCATTTTATAGGAGGGATTAATAATTTTATAGAGCATAATGATCTACAAGCTCCAAAGCCCTAATAACTCTCTTCATTAATTCAAATAGTAACAATAGTAATAATAATAATAATAATAATAATAATAATAAAACTAACATCTCTTTAGCCCTTATACTCTGCCAAGCACTCCACTGTTTTAATCTTGCATCAACCTTGTGAAGGTAGGTGCTATGATTATTCCCATTTTACAGAAGGGCCAACAGAAGCTCAGAATTTAAGTAATTTCACAAGGTCAAGTGCTGGTAAGTGTGGGGCTGGGGTTGGAACCCAGGTGTCCCCAGCTCCAGATTTTGTGCTTCCTTCCAAGTGCTGAGGCTCACATTGCAAGGCTGCACGTACTGACAGGAGGTCTATCTCTGTGTTAGGTCTTTTCTTTTTTTGAAAAAAAGATTTTATTTATTTATTTGACAGAGACAGAGAGAGCACAAGCAGGGGGAAGTGGCATACAGAGGGAAAGGGAGAAGCAGGCCTCCCACTGAGCAGGGAGCCCGATGTGGGACTCGATCCCAGGACCCTGGGACTATGACCTGAGCCGAAGGCAGCCGCTTAACCAAGTGAATTCAGGTGCCCTGTGCTAGGTCTTTTCAAACGCTATGCTTCAATGATTGTGGTCCTGTTGGTCCTTCCTGTGCCAAAGTACTACACAGGCACAGCTTTTTTTTTTTTTTTTAAGATTTATTTATTTATTTGATGGGGGAGGGGCAGAGGGAGAGGGAGAGAGAGAATCTCAAGCAGACGCCCCACAGAGTGCCGAGCCTGATGTGGGGCTCAATCTTATGACCCCAAGATCACGACCTAAGCTGAAATCAAGAGTCAGATGCTTAACCCACTGAATCACCCAGGCACCCTGCACAGGCACAGCTTTTTAACAATAAAATGCTTGGGCTCCATCCCTAGGACCTTGGTAAGGATCTGAGACAGCACAAGGAAGGAAATCTGGCAATATCTAACAAACTCGTATAAGCATTTCATTCTTTGACCAGCAATCACTTCTAGGAAACTATCCCAAAGACACGTTGATAAAAATGCAAAAAGACATTTGCACAAGGCTATTCACTGCGGCACCACCTGCAATAGCAAAACTCTGCAAAATGCAAACACCCCTCAACAGAAGATTGTCTGAATAAACTATGGTACAGGGGCCCAGTGAGATACTAGGCAGCAGTAAAAAGGAATGAGGAATCTATCTATACACACAAGTATGGGGTGATCTCCAGGATACGTGGTGTACAATACACTGTCATTTATCTAAGAAAGGAGTGATGTGCGTGCACGCAAACGCACGCGCACACACACGCACACACATTAAAAAACAAACAATGGAAGGATAAACCATCTAATTTTAAAAACTGGCCACTTACGGGGGAGAAGGATAGGCAGGAATATGGTTAAGGGTGTCGGGGACAGAGGCAAGATTTCTTTGAATATACCTTGTTTTGTAGATTTGACTTTGAAACCATATATTTACATAATTATAAAATAAAATTTAAATTTAAAAAGCAACTACTCCCCCCCCAAAAGTAAGATAAAACAAATTAAGGTATATGTGTATTAGTTTTTGGCATAACTACACAGAAAGAACCTATTCCAAGTGATTTTTAAAACTCATAAATTTCTGACAGAAGATACCCTAAGAATGATGAAGCATTGCAAAAAAATACCTCAAGCTTTTCTTAGTAATTATATTGGTTAACTGTAGCAGTGAGAATGTTTGAATGCAGTGTAAGGTAAAACAAATTAGCGATTATGGAATGCTCTAGCGTTCTTGGTGGTGCTGAGAATGGCATTCTTGATGCTCTAGAGAAAGGATGTACAAAACCAAGTAAACTAAATAGCCGTGAATATGAATTTGGAGTATCTGTAGGAAGTCAGCGCGTGTTTTGACTTTAAATATACCATATATATGTATGTTTGTGTATGTGTACATGTGTTTTATCTCCTAGCTTTGTGCTCTGAAAGGACAAGCACACAATGACCAACCCGTGAGCAATGAGCACCTTTACTGCCAGGCTGTGGTCTGCAAATACCATTTCCTGTTAAAAGAATCAATATTTTGAAGAAACAGCTTAGTCCAGGTCTGGGACAGAAATTGTATAAGAAAGACTTAGAACGAGTTGTCACAGCAGAAAGCAAAGAAGCAGCTCTCTATCTATGACTACTGGGGTGTGTCTAAGGGACCCAGGAGTTGTCTTGAGGCAGCTTCCACTGGCCAAAGAAGGGGCACTGTGAGCATCAGTTAGTATAACTCAGTACACCTGAAGCAATACCAAATACGTTTAAATCCATAAAATCATAAAGACACTTAATAAAACCTTGGTTTTTATTACTTTGTTACTGCGGGAGGATGCCAGTGAACCAAGCTTTATGTTGAAAATAGGTACAAAAAAGGAAAGAAGCAAACATTTAACGTGTCTTTCTTATACAAACTGACCACTGGATAACCAAGGGGAATGTTAATCTCTACAGATACAGAAGTTCTTTTTTTCCCCCAGAAATACTGACAACTAAAATATCCCTAATTTTGGGTGCCTGGATGGCTCATTCGGTTAAGCGTCTGCCTTCATTCAGCTCAGGTCATGATCAGGTCATGATCCCAGGGTCCTGGGATCCAGCCCCGCATCGGGCTCCCTGCTCAGCGGAGGTCCTGTTTCTCCCTCTCCCTCTGCTGCTCCCCCTGCTTGTGCACTCGCTCACTCTCTCTCTCTCTGTCAAATAAATAAGTAAAATCTTTAAAAAATAAAAAAATAAAAATAAAACATCCCTATTTTTCTAACTCCTAAAATGGATATAGGCACGGATCATCACCTGCTACTAACATCGCTACGTGAAAGACAATCAGACATTATGTGTCTCCTGATGGAACAGCACACCATCACCTTAAAAAGAATGCTGGACCCAAAGCCAAACACCTGAACCCAATCAAGCCTTTGACATCCATTGATAGGAAATGGACAGCGCAGAAGAACATGTCAGAATACACTACAGTGATGTATTAAAACATAATCTATGGGAAACTCTGAAGGACAAATGACTCAGTGTCTTCAACAAATAAATTCCATGGGGGTTAAAGAAGAGATGAAGGGGAAGCTATCGCCAATAG